GACCTGAGTTCTATTTCCAGGACCCACAAGGTAGAGGACTAACCCCCACACAAGTAGTCCTCTGACTTCCATACATACAATGGAGGACATACACACACACACACACACACACACACTGAGAGAGAGAGTTTTAAATACAATTCTTTATATGTTTCCGATTTTCAAAAATTAATTTGTATTTATTTATAACATTTTAGGATCAACTTAATCTAGTCACCTGTAAACTTGTAAGCAAAATTGTCTCTACCTCAGCTACTCAACTTTGCCCCTCTGTGTGAAAGCAGATCAGTGAGCAGGCAGGTCTGCATTCCAAAATCATTTCATTCTTTAACTGCCTGGACATGGCTGGAAGACTAGTCTTGCCCATTCCTGCCTCGGTTTCCCCACTCTATTCTTTCCATCCAGACACCACTGCTGATCCCTTACCAATCTTCCCAGTTGTGTCCAAAGTCTCATGAGTGATGGACATGAGGAAGCCCAGACCCCTCCGATCGAGTCAGAACTTCCTGTTGGTACTATGTCGCAGGGTCCACCCACCTAGGGTCTTTATGATATGCAGTTCCTAAATCACCTTGAAAAAGCCAAAGAGAATGCAAGGATTCCTGTATGGGTACTTACAGTTTTGTTGGTAAGTAGGCTGCAGTGTCATCCTTACTTCTGATGATGTCGTTACACTTATCTAGTGTTTGAAAAACTGTGTAAGTATCACCAATGCTGTACAGGGCCGCAAGGTTTTTAGCTAACAATTTTCGAGTGGGTGGTCCAGGTGAGCTGCTTATTAATCCAGTTAATTGCTCAACAAGTTTTTTCTGTTTTTCCTTTACATCTGTCTGTTATTTGAAAAAAACATCATTTTCCTTGTACCCTTATTACTTTCAAATCAAAAAACACTTAACATGTATGATGCTACAGAAATTACAACTGTATGCATTCATTAAGCATAACTCACACATGAAAATTTTTATGAAAATAGAAACTTCAGTAAGAAATGATCCACTCTTTCCTAGATTAAATCTTCATTCCCCTCCATTGTCCCAAAGTTTGATTTCAACAAAAGTGATTACTGTGTGAGACAGTTCTAGTTCAACTTAGGAAGCTGAATCACATACTCGACATTCAGATGCCTGATATCTAAGGTTTTCCCCTGAAAAAGCAGATACAGTTGTCCATAAAGTTATGGGCTAGTAAAGGAAACCAAGAGAAATTTTGAAGAGGCCTAAGCAACAGAATGTAATTCCCAGATCTACACACAATCATTACCTAGTCAATATCTAGAATTCACTCATTTGTTTAGGAAATACAATGCAACTCCTACGTGCCACGTACTATTCTGAGCACTGGGTGCAGCAGTGAACAAGACAAAGTCTGGTTCTCACACATTCTAGGAGGGAGGGACAGAATATAAGTAAATGAATGGTGTGAGCCTTAGCATTTTATATAAATTGATTAGTAAAAGTCTATCTCTAAGGGGAAGGGGTGAGCTATGCAGCTATCTGGGAGGAGAGCATTCCAGGGAATGGGAACAAGACATCTGAAGCTTTTGCAGATGAAGCATGCTTAGCACACCTGAGGCCAACAAGGGCAGGTAAGCTGGGATGAAGTAGTAGAAAGAAAACAGGAGGAGGAGGTCAGAAGAGACCAGATGATAGTACCAGACACACTAGAGAATACCAAATCTATTCTGAATGACAGTTTTAAGCAGAGGAGGGCTGCAATCTAATTATTTTACCCAATTAATTTAGACTACTAAATTATAGATGCTGAATATACAAGGCAGAAACAGGGTGAGCAATTGGAAAGCTACTGCAATAGTCGAGAAGAGAGACACCGAAGAGGCAGGTGATGGGAAGCAAATGGAATCTGGATATGCTCGTGGGTAATTCCACTAATATCTGCCAATCGACATGATATGAGGGTTAAGAGAGAGGTGAAGAAGGACTGTAAGAAAGGATAGCTTTGAAAAAAGGAAATCAATACTTTGGTTTGGGTGTTGATAGCGTTAACTCTGTGTGGGGGGGGAGGAGGGGGGAGAGGAAGAATATGAATCCTTGAATTTACCATGTAGCTGAGGATGGCTGTGAACTTGAATTTACCATGGAGCTGAGGCTGCTGTGAACTTTTAATCCTCCAGCTTCCACTTCCCAGGGGCTGGGATTATTGCTTTGGACCAGGACATAAAATTGTTTTATGCGGTTCCGGGACCTAAACCCAGGGCTTTTTCCATGTTAGAGGCAAATGCTCTACCAAATGAGCTACACAGCAGCCCATGAGATGTCTTCTAAAGTTCGGTTTCTGGATGGTGGTAGAAGTCTCAAGAGTAGCCATCATGAAAGGGTAAGACTAACGACTCTCATCACAACAAAACAACATGACTGTTAAGTATTTAAAGTGGGGGTTCAGCTATATGAAAAGATGGGAAGGGACCAAATAAAACAAGTCCTGACCATTGCTTTGGGCAATTTGAGTTACGTGATAATTTGAAAAGGACTTTTCATTGGGAGGAAAACAACAAATGCCCAGTTACAGAAGATTTAAGACACAAAAGTAAATTTCTAGTTAATTACACTGTCATTCTAGCAATTCAAGTGACCCTAACAGACAGGAATAACAGCATGGAAGCACAAGTCTACAATGGCCATGACAACAGAAAAAGAACCCAGAAAAATCTGGAAGCCAAGAACTCCCAACAGAGAAAACTACGAAGAAATTCCGATGCAAAGTACTCCAATAGTTTATGGGTCTTTTTTTTTTTTTAAAGTCTTGGGAGACTTCTGGGGTTAGAAATTAGGGAATAACTGGTTGACAGTCTGAGGACATACGGGAGTGCATCCATCATGCCCAGTGCTTCAGCATTCAGGCAGCTAACAAAGGAAGACAGCTACATATTTGAAGCCAGTCTGTGATACATAATGAGTCCCAGGCCAGCTAGGCACAACTAATAAGAGCCTGTCACACAAAGTAAAACCAAAGCCAAAAACAAACAGAATCTTCTGTGCTCCTCTCCTTCATTCTGGAAGAAAGCTTGTTTTCTGAAAGTGGCAAGGGACAACTGTGGACTGAGGTCACTGTACTAAGAAAGGAATTAAGTGAATGTTTGCACACTGAGTATTGAAGCCTTCAGGCTCCCTATCCCAATCCCTCAATCCTAGACAATTAACCACATCCCCCTTCAGACACTAGAGTGGAAAATTATCTTCAAGGGAGCAATCAGTCTAGAGGAACAAATTAGGATAGTAAGCTCAGAACTAGCCTATTCTAACTTTCCATTAACAAAATTCACCTTTCCCAGAACACCTTCTATGATTCAGTCTTAAATATGAACGCATCTATCATTAAAAAAAATAAACAAAACATGCACAGAACAAATTTGCATCCAAGAGGTTATGCAGGAAGTGGAAGAAACAGTAAAAATCTCTTAAGTCCCCAGGGAGAACACGAAGAAACTGGGATTCCAGAAATCACAGACCATTTCCAGGCACAGATAAGTAGGAGTGACACAAGCTATGGAGTTACCTTTTTCTCCCTGTCATACTGAACTGAGCTATGACGAATACAACAAGCAGGGTTTAGACAGGGTTTGGGGTTTGTTGCTGACTAAGAGAAAGACAAACTAGAAATTCCTGAGGTGAATGACTTGTAACATTTCCAAAATACAAGGTTTTAAATTTTCTTTATATTAATCTCACGGGGGTGGGGGAAGGAACACCTACCTTGTTGGCAGCAACTAGAACTTTATCAAGAAATCTTAACCATTCAAAGATAAATACTGGTCTCTTTGCTTCAGTGATCTGGGCCAATGCTTCTTCATTTAGCAATAAACTGTGCGCTAACTCCATTATTGAAGCTCTTAATTCACACCTTAAATGAACAGATTAGCTAAAATGAAAAAGAAGTACACGTAAGGAATTTTTTATTTATGCATAGGAGTGTTTTGCCTACATGAATGTGAGCCTGCTGCTCCCATCAAGACAGGTATTAGATGCCCCGGAACTGGAGTTACAGATGGCTATGAGGTACCAGGTGGGCGCAGGAAACCGAACCCGTGTCCTTTTCAAAAGCAACAAGCGTCACTGAGTCATCTCCCCAGTCCCCACACGGAAGGATTTTTAAATACTAAGTGTCACGTCTCACAAACACAACCATTAAGGCAAGGAAAGGAAGTATGGTCTCACTTCTCACTATTTCTCATTCGTTCAATGAGTGAACTTCTTTGACACACAACCTGAGAGAAACAGATTTGAGAAGGCAGAGACAGAAACAAAACTAAGCTGGCGGTTAAGAATGGAGTGCCAGGAGAACATAAATACTGCAAAAGGCCATTCACGACTCCCGGCAGCTCATCCCGCTGTGCGAACCCCTAAGCACCGAGCTCAGGCATCACCTCGGCGCGTCTGCTCGGTCCCCTGCTGAATGCACAGGCACCTGTTCCGGTCCCAGGCTACCCGGACCGTGACCCCGGGCTTCCCGCAGGCGAGGGGCGGGACCCGCAGCAGCAGCAGCGCCCGAGACGCGCAGACCCCAGCGCTCGGTGTCCAGGTGCGCCCGGCCGCCCCGGGGAGTGCCACGGCCTAGGGACAACGCGAGACGCGGTCGTCGGCCGCCCCGGGAGCTCAGCCTCACGTCGCGGGGGCCCTCGAGCTGTCAACCCCACGCGGCTGAGACTCCCGGTCCCACTTCCCTCCGCAGCCCCCTGCAGACGACACGGGCTCGCGGTGCGTATCAGCCGGCACGCTCTGACGGCGCGCGGCCGGCCGCCTCACCTCCCGCCCGGGCCAGGGGGACCAGCTGAGCGCCGCAGGCTGAAGCCACCGCCGACAGGGCCCGGATGCCCCGCCTCCCACACGCCAGCCTGCAGGAAGCCGGAGGAAGACGCCTGCGCGGAACGCCGGTCGCGCGCGCTCTCTCTCTCTCTCACGCGCGCGCACGCACACGCGCACTCGCACCCCTCGCGCTCCCTTAACCCCGCCCACCCACCCCCTCCGGCGTTTTCGAGAGGTGGGGGTGAGGAGGAGCCGCAAGGACGGCGCATGCGCAGTGCGAGCTCCGCAAGCTGCGGCCGGAGGGCGAAGCTGCGTTTTTAGGGTCTGCGGACGCCCCGGGAGGCTGGCGGAGGTCGGGGCTGGTTGGCTGTGACTGTCCACCCCGACGTCAGCAGCGCCCCATCCGTGAGTGGTCGTTTTCTGGTGGGCCGCCGCAGGCGGGAAGGGAGGGAGGGGACCCCCCGGTGCTCCGGGCGCCCCTAGGAAAGGAAGGGGCGGCCCAGCTCTGCGCGTTCAGTCGCCCTCGCTGCAGACTTGCCCTTTGCCTAGGCAGGAGTAAGCCTGCCTGCACCTACATATGTAGCCTCCCTGTTGAGAAAATGGTTGTCTTTATTTAGGAGCTAAAGCGAAGAGCTCCACATCGTCTGGTTCTTTCGCGGACGCCGCCCCAGAGCCCACCAGCAAATGCTGTGTGAGCCCCGCTCAGGGAGACGCAGCGTCAGCCGGAGACTTAGCTGACTTAGGTGACTCCTAAGGGACGGTGCAGGCCGTCAGCATCGTTGCCTGGGTTGGGTTGTCTTTCGCCGTGTGGAGTTGATGCTTAGTTTGAGGGGAGTGGGTGATGCTAGTATGTGCTGTCCTCATAGCTAGAGATCTCTCACACCAGAGGTCCCTGTGCCTTATTCCACTCCTTAATAATTTAACTTCTTCTAAGTTTGTCAGTTAATGACGTCTCGGTACCTGGATGTAAATAAGTATGATGGGATATGCAGATTGTAACCATAGGATGTGATAATTAAAAGGGAGAGCCTTAAAAGTGACCTGAAAACCCTCGTGACCTGAAATCCCTCGTACTTTGTGTATGGGGTGGGGCTTTTTCAAGTTTTGAGATAGGGTCTCACCACGCAGGTCAAGCTGCCCTCAAACTCCTAAGTGCTGAAATCACACCAGTGGGCCACCATGTCTGACTGTGGAAATGTTTCCCTTAAAAATAATTCAGTTTGCACTAGAGATTTAGCTCAATGGTAGAATGTTTTCCTTGCATGTGTGAGGTCCTGGGTTGGATATCCAGCTCAGCAATGACAATTATAACCTCGTTTTGTTTCAGGAGCAAAATCACCAAAACCAGTATGTATTCTGTGTGGTTGTGAACGATTGTTGAGCCAGATTGAGCCTAAAGTGTTCCAGCTGCAACGTGAAACTGACTGTTGAGCTGTTCATGAGCTAGGTGAGCACTGCTCCATGTAAGAGTGCTGGTGTTCAGTCTGATTCACCTCAGGCTTGACTGTCTCCCAAGTGGCTCACTGGTTTGCTCACACATTCATGTCTCAGATCCTCCCATCACGTAGGCGTCTCCATAGAGCTTCTTGAGTGCTCTCATGTGAGCTCAGACTTCATTCCACTAATCCATACCGACTTTACAGAGTGAAATGTACAGTGTGTCCCAAAAGTCAGGCTAACATACAAAACCTTGTTGGTTACACACTGCTCAATGTGGAGATTACACAGCGTTATCAAAAGCCAAGAGGCAAGGTTTACTAGGAGCAGACCATTTTGGAGAACACTACATAATTATATGAGTGTTTGCCTCATAACTAGGGAATTACAAGTTCCAAGCCCAGCTTGGACTACATAGTGGCTTCCAGGCCAGCATGAGACAGAACGCAGGGTGGTCCAATCTCAGAGAAAAAACAGGAGTGTGTACTTCTGTGACTGTTTGAATCAGAATGGTACCTTCTGATTCATATGTTTGAAGACTTGGTCCCCAGGTGGAGGACTTATTTGGGAAGGATTAGAAGGTGTGGCCTCAGGGAGGTAAGTCAAAACAGGGGCTTTGAGGTTTGAAAAGCCCACACCATTCCCAGTTAGCCTTTGTTTGGTTAGCTACTCCTGTTTCTACAACATGGGGTGCTGAAATTATCTTAGTGCACACGGGAGCAGCATACAGCCTTGCCAGTCTCCGTGCTTGATTTCCATCTTGGAAAACTAAAATGATAGTGATAACACTATTACTTTGTCCCTTTTGGTTTGTAGGCGGTGTTGTCATATGAAGTTGAACATGGCAGAAGAGGAGGATTACATGTCAGATTCTTTCATTAATATTCAGTAAGTAAATGTGTATGCCTAATGTGATGTGGAAACCACACGTGTAGACTTAAGATACGGACATGGGTTGGGTGGTGGTAGTCATGAGTGTTTGCTTGTTTTGGGACAGGGTCTGTCTCTTGTGGCTCAGGCTATCTGTTGGGAATCATCCTCAGGCCCTCTCATTGCATGCGAGGCAAGTAACTCTGACACTGCCTGAGCTCCCCTCCCCCCAGGACATTTTTAAATACGTGTTTCAGTTTTTAAGGCAGAGTCAGACAGATTGCTGAGTTTAAGGCCAACCTGGTCTACAGAGGGTTCTAAAACAGCCAGGACTATACAGAAAAAAAAAACTGTTTTGAATCCCTCTCCTGCTCCCCAAAAAATAGTCAGTCTTAACTATTTCGTGCGTAGCATCCTGTGTGTCCATACTAAGAGAATAGGAGCATCTCATCTCTTGTGGCACTTACCGTTTTGCTTCTGCTCTTAACCCTCTTTGGGAGCCCTCCTCTGCCCTCTGTCAGTGTCAAGGGAGTGCCTGGAAAGCAGGGAGAAACAGTGCGCTCCACTGTTGCCTTTATTTTTCAGAGAAGACATCAGACCAGGCGTGCCAATGCTGAGGCAGATCCGAGAGGCCCGTCGTAAGGAAGAGAGACAGCAGGAAGCTAATCTGAGAAACAGGCAGAAGAGCACGAAAGAGGAAGAGCGGGAACGACGCGACATGGGCTTGAAGAATGCACTAGGCTGCGAAAACAAAGGGTTCGCCCTGCTCCAAAAGATGGGGTACAAGAGTGGGCAGGCTCTGGGCAAGAGCGGTGAGTCGCATGGGGGAACCGGCTCAGTGTTCTTTACCTCTGGGCTGCAGTGTGCTGACGGACTCCTAAGTCAACAGTACTTTTTTTAATCTACCAAAACGTAAAGCCGCCTCAGTTTCTTAGTGTCTTCGATGCTGACAGTCCTTACAGAGTTGTCCTCTCACGTGGTTTTTAAATGCCTCACGTGTCAACATGGGCACCGGCAGAGGGCTGACAGCAAGCAGTGGAGAATGGAGCAGATGATTGACAGCGAGCAGTGAGAATGGAGCAGATGATTGACAGCGAGCAGTGGAGAATGGAGCAGATGATTGACAGCGAGCAGTGAGAATGGAGCAGATGATTGACAGTGAGCAGTGAGAATGGAGCAGATGATTGACAGCGAGCAGTGGAGAATGGAGCAGATGATTGACAGCGAGCAGTGGAGAATGGAGCAGATGATTGACAGCGAGCAGTGAGAATGGAGCAGATGATTGACAGAGAGCAGTGAGAATGGAGCAGATGATTGACAGTGAGAATGGAGCAGATGATTGACAGCGAGCAGTGAAGAATGGAGCAGATGATGGGCTTCAGAGAACCACGGTGGACACATAGCAATGAGGCAGCTCTGGGGACCACACCGGGCTCTTCCCAGCTTGCTCTGCGCCTGTGGCAACTGTCTGGCTGGCGTTCCAGTGAGAGGAGCTGTGTTCCCTTGTAGGAAATGAAAGTGCCTATTAAGCTGTAGTGGCTGTAAATTGCGGCTTCAGTTTGCTTTTTTTTTTTTCTTTCCTGTTTTAATCGCTTTGATTTTTTTCATACAGAAAGACTGTTTTCCCTTGAGATTTCTGCCCACTAAGACTGTTGTGTCCATAATGTCACTTCCGAAAATGGCATAAGTGCACTGGGGAGGCAGAGGCAGGTGGATCTCTGAGTTCAGGGTCAGCCTGGTCTACAGAGTGAGGTCCAGGATAACTAGACCTGGTCTCAAAAATAGATGATAGGTAGGTAGGTAGGTAGGTAGGATGTATTTAAAATTCAGAGAGGTAATAGCTGAAAAAGAGAGTATTAGTTTCCAGAATTCAATTGGAGTGTTACTGAAACTGGGAGAGAATATACAGAGAGCTCTGTATTGTTACATTCTATGCTGACTGACCTGAACTTTGTGGTAAATGAAATATTTCTAATTTATGTTTTTTTTTTCTTTTTTTTAGGAGATGGCATTGTAGAACCAATTCCACTCCATGTCAAAACAGGTATATAGTCATTTTTAGTATATTAAATAACAGTAACTTAGATTGACTTACTTAATGTGTTTTGTGATGACACCCTTGTAGTTGGCTATCATAGGAAGCCTATGAAATAGTGAAATGGTAAACTAAGTCTTTTTAAAGTTGTTTTGTAGGGAAAAAAAATTAAGTACGTTTGGTGAAATAGAAGTAATAGAATATAAAATTTAAATCATAAAAATTATGGGGGAGCCACGAGTAGTCATTTGCATCTGTAATCTCAAGATTTAGGAGGCAGATGTAAGAGGGTGGAGATGTGAAGGCTAGCCTGAGCTACATGGTGAGGCCCATTGGCAGAGTGCCTGCTCATTCAGTATATGGCTATGGTTCTCACCCCAGGACCACAAAAACTGGGGGAAAATTTTTACAGCTGGGGAAAGCACAGTGCCTTCCTTGTCTTTTGTAACATGCTAAAAATGTTATAAAGCAGATTTATCAGTGATCTTTTTAATGTCATTCCTTGGGTTAATTCAAGAGAAAGTAAACATACATTTTTTGAAAGTGTGATAGTTGATATTATTTTCCTGATTTTTATTTTATTTATTTTTTACCTATTTGGGGGGGGGTTGAGACAGTTTTTCTGTGTAGTGCTGGCTGTAGTGGAACTCACTCTGTAGACCAGGCTGCCCTTGAACTCAGAGATCTGCCTGCCCCTGCTTTCCAAAAGGGGATTAAAGGTGTGCACCACCACTGCCCAGTTCCTAATTTTCTTTAAAGATTTTTATTTATTATGCATACAGTATTCTGCCTGTATGTCTGCCTGCAGGCCAGAAGAGGGCACCAGATCTCATTACAGATGGTTGTGAGCCACCATGTGGTTGCTGGGAATTGAACTCAGGACCCCATGAAGAGCAGCAAGTGCTCTTAACCTCTGAGCCATCTCTCCAGGCCCCTCAGCTCCTAATTTTTAAAAATGTGTGTAGAATTACTATGCTGAATGAGACTCTGCGGTCTTTGTCAAAATCATCCTGTTGGTTTCTGTTGCCATTTTAATGGAATAAGTTTGGATAATTATATTCAAGTCAGAACTGCATTTACTTTCTTTTTTTTTTTTTTTTTTTTTTTTTTTTTTTTGGTTTTTCGAGACAGGGTTTCTCTGTGGCTTTGGAGGCTGTCCTGGAACTCACTTGGTAGTCCAGGCTGGTCTTGAACTCACAGAGGTCCGCCTGCCTCTGCCTCCCGAGTGCTGGGATTAAAGGCATGCGCCACCAACGCCCGGCCTGCATTTACTTTCTTAAGTGTTTAAATTGTCATGTTTTGACATTTTAACAAATTCCTCATCAGAATTTTTGTCTGTGACCAGGAAAAAGTGGCCTAGGTCACGAGTCATTATTAAAACGGAAAGCAGAGGAAAGGCTGGAAAACTACAGGAGAAAAATTCACATGAAAAACCAAAATGAAGCAAAGGCCGCCGAGCAGTTCCGGTAAGATGTTTTCTTTGAACTGGTCTTGCTTCCAATCCCCTTTGTTATGGCGTGTCCCTGGCACTTGGGTGTGTAAAGCAGGTAAGAGAGTAGAGACATTGGGGTTCTCCCTCCACTTAGGATGAGGCTGAAGAATAAGCAAGATGAGATGAGACTCGAAGGAGACCTGAGAAGAAGCCAGCGAGCTTGCCAGCAGCTGGACACCCAGAAGGTAGGCGGGCGTCTCATTCCAGCTTCCTGGTGCTTTGGTATCTGCATGATTTGGTTAATATTTTTATTGAGTTAAAAAGAAAAGAAAGAAAACCTCTACCCCTTGACTCTAAAACATTTCCCTTAAAGATTTCTTTTGAACCAGGCAGTGGTGGCGCACGCCTTTAATCCCTGTTTTCGGAAGGCAGGGGCAGGTGGATCTCTGTGAGTTCGAGGCCATCCTGATCTACAGAGCAAGTTCCAGGACAGCCTCCAAAGCCACAGAGAGAAACTCTGTCTTGAAAAAAAAACGATTTTGTTTGATGTGACCACCTACTGTGGTGACTGACACACTAATGGCTGACTTACTCCAGGGACCTGTTTCCTGAGTTGTCTGCTAAGGGTTCGCTTTTCTTCTATCCAAATTGTCATTACTCAGGACTGGAATGTACAGATGTTCTGTTCCCCATAGTGTTTGATTAACCAGAATAACCTAATTTTAGTTCATACTTACCAGTTGGTGTATCTGTTGGGAAATTAAGGCGGAAGACTATCATTTCAAATAGGAATCTTTTAAAATCATTGTAAAAGAAATCTTTGCCTTTTACAAAACACAGTGAGTGGTATTGAAAAAAAATGACTTCACTTAAATATTGGTATAATTTCTGTCGTCTCTAAGTAATTGGAAGGAATGTCCCACTTCACAACGTTTCCATGAGATATTATCTCTCAGGTACTTCTATGTACACTAGCTTATATGTACAGTTTTACACCCTCTTTGACATCTTCCCTCTTTGACTGACAAAATTCCAACTGCCCTTTCAGTCCTCACTGTTCATGGTCCAATTACTGAGAAATTACACTCAGTAACTATTAATTGGGAGGACAAATTTATGTTAACACAAATATTCTTATGACACCACAAGTATTGTGTTTTATAAAAATACTTCTGCATTTTCAGAATATTCAGGTTCCCAGGGAGGCTTGGTACTGGTTAAGGCCAGAAGAGGAGACTGAGGAAGAGGAAGAGGAAGAACAGGATGAAGATGAACACATGAGTGAAGACATGAGTGTATGTCTGGGTACCATGTGTCTCCTCATAGCAGACATCTTGGCCTTGGCACTGTTACCACCTGAAGCTGGGTAACTCTTTGCTGTGGGCAGCAGGATAGGAAGTGTAGCAGTACCACCTGCCATTTAGAAAGGACAGACACATAGACACACATGCAGGAAAACTGGGATCAGGGTATGCCCACTCTGATGGGTACCTACTACCCCAGCAACCCTGAACAGAGACTGGCATCTAGAGTGTGGAGCCCGGGCGTGCAGTCGTGGAGGGAACAGAGGAAGCCTTGAGTGAATAAAGTCCTGAGTGAGTGTGCATTGCTGACATCTGCATGCCATGTCAGGAACTCCAGTGCCTCAGCCCCACAGGAGCGACAAGAGATCAGCTAAGCTTTCCTCGGGAGTCTGAGAATGAGTGGTTGTAAGTGATTGATCAGGGCGTACAAACGCTGCCAACTGCAACTTGACCACCAAAAAGTGTTCCCAGCATTGCTAAATAGCCCCTGGGGAGAAAAACAACCCCAAGTTGAGAGCTGCTGGTTTCCAGGGATATTTTACTATCCCAAAGTAAAAATTTCATACAATTTTTCCATTTAGCATTAGTTTACTAAAAATGACAGATTAGATAGAAATGTGATTGCATTTGACTTTGTCTTCTATTAAATTTCTAAAAGTGACCCTAATGTGTACCTCATCTGTCCCGACCCTCAGGACATTCATCGTGGGTCTGGTGGACACCTAGGAAAAAGATGGGGGGCAGGGGATACAAGGACAGACGCCAAGACAAGAGTCTGATCAAGGCGACAACTTTATTTATCCCAAAGGGATTTATATAGGGGAAGGGAGGAGGGGAAGGAATAGGGGTGTGCTGTAGCTGCGATGAACCTGGCGGAGAGAAGGTCAGTGGGATGGGTAGGGCATCCTGTGTCCTCTGGTGACCTAACTGCAGACTCTAACTTTATCTTTCACACTCCACCGTCTATTAAGCCTATGCCCTAGATAAGCCGCAGGTCTGTTTCTGGAATTTGGCAGGTAGCAGGTGGTCCCGAGTCACGTACTTTCTATGAAGGTCTTTTTTATGAGTACCTGGTTGATGGCCGGAGGTCTCTGACACTCATCCATTCACAACACAAAACAAACAGAAAATAAAATCAGAAGGAAACACAGGGTAGATGAAGATAACTCAGCAAGTGAAGGCACTGGTGCCGAGCCTGACAACCCAGGCTCAGTCCCGGGGACTCACACTGGCAAGCACGTGAGGCACATATGCTCAGTCCCGGGGACTCACACTGGCAAGCACGTGAGACACATATGCTCAGTCCCGGGGACTCACACTGGCAAGCACGTGAGACACATATGCTCAGTTGACTTTTAAAATGGGATTTTTTTTTAACCAAGGGCAGTAACACCCCCGTAGTTACTTCATATGGGGTTTGCTCAGCAACATTCACTGCTTTAGACACACATGTATGGCTTCACTGAGCTGATCACTGTCCCCCTCCCCTCACCTGAGGGACAGAGTCCTTGAAAGTAAAAGAGGTCTTCACGAATCATAATTGTCACTGGGCACAGTGGCTACTCCAGTGTCCCGTGACCGGCCACTCAAAATGGATGTTCCTGCTGGGCATGATGGTGTACACTTTATTGCCAGTGCTCGGGAGGCAGAGGCAGGCAGGTCTCCGTGCATTCAAGGCCAGCCTGGTCTACATGGCAAATTCCAGACCAAGAAGGCATAATGAGACACTGTCTTTTTAAAAAAAAAAAAAAAAAGCTTGATCTCAGAGCTAATGAAAAGATGATTTTGTTTATGTCCACTAGTTGTCTCTTGGGGACAAGTGTTAGTCAGCTGAGACATGTGGGAACATATCGCCTCTGCTCTGACACCTGGAGTCACTGTTTGAGAGTGTACCCGAAGAGTTCAAGCCTGGGCCTAAGTAACTGACTGAGGTCCAGGAACCAAGTTTCTGGTTGTTGCGAGCCACTGACGCACCTGTGTCCTCTCTCAGGCGCTGGAAAAACTGCAGATACTCACCGGCTACTTGCGAGAAGAGCATCTATATTGCATTTGGTGCGGGACAGCCTTCGAAGGTGAGAAGACGATTTATGTTTTAAATTATTGCCTGTGAACACTTGCTTATTTTTTACTAAAGCTCACTTGTCTTACTCCTTTCAAATAGAAATGTGGGGCAGTGTCGGCTACAGAAATAGAGGTTTTATTAGAATTTAGCATTTAGGTTTTTAGCAACTAAATGTGCAAGAGGGAATTTTCACCATTTTATTACTCAAAATAATTTCATGTCTAAAGAATACCTTAAAAAGGCTAGGCATGGTGGCATACACCTTGAATCCCAACCCTCAAGAGGCAGAGGCAGGTGGATCTCTTGAGTTCAAGGCCAGCCTGGTCTACATAATGAGTTCAGGATACTCCGAGCTACACAGAGAAACTGAGTCTCAAAAAAACAGAAGAGAAGAAAAGGACTTATTTTTATTGTATGTTCAAACTTAGTGTGTGAGTGCTGTGACAGCTGCTCTCAGCACGTTCCAGCCCCGCCGGGCCTAGTCAGTGAGACCCTGCTTCAATCACCATTGAAAAGAAAAAAAAAGAACCAAAAATAACGTGAAGATAATGATTTCTTTCAAGCTTTATTTTTGAAGATTCATTCTTTGAAAGATACTTGCACTAAAATTTTGTAACTAATCCCAGCTCATTAAAATCAAGTCTGTTGAAATCACTCTTTTTTTTTTCATTGTGAAGAAGAAATTACTTTAACCTTTGCTAAATATCCTTTTTTCTTTATCTAGTGTTCTCTCATATTGCATTCTGAATGCAGTTTCCCCCCATCTTCTCCTCCCAGTCTCTCCCCACCACCCCCCTTCTCCCCATCCACTCTGCCTCTGTTTCCCTTCAGAAAAGCCTTGCCAAATATCTCAACTGAACCAACAGTCATGCGTTTGTCCATTTCAACTTGATTAACCTGTAGTTAAGTGCTTTGTATTCGTGAATGAGGATTTTTTTTGTCCTTTTAATCTCTTGCGTTTGTGTTTTTTTTTGGGGGGGGTGCTGTGCCCATGTGTGTACCTATGCACCACAAACGCTCAGTGTTGATGGAGGCCAGCAGAGGGCAGCGTCAGATCCCCTGGGCCTGGACTGAGCTTGAGCCACAGGTGGGTGCTGGAATGGAACCCAGGCCCTGCGGAAGAGCAGCCAGTGCTCTTACCCATTGAGCCATGTCTCCAGCCCCTGGCAGCTTATTTTTTGTTATCATTTTAATCTTTTCCTCATTTACATAGTAGAATAAATAACAAACATGACTGATCAAAAATACTACATTCAATTTTCCAAAAGTTTGCTCTAAGCCTGTATTTACCTTTTATTTCTCCCACATAAATTACAGATAAGGAAGACCTATCTTCAAACTGCCCAGGACCAACCTCTGCAGATCATGACTGAGATTCCACCCAATAAAGTAAAAACTGTTGGTGCAGCTGAAGAAGAAGGCCTTTATGTAACACTTTACTCTTTTAGGAGTATGCTCTACTTTGGATGAATTGCTCACTGGCTTGGGAAAGAGCTACTGTCACTTCCAAATACAAGTGTCATAGACTTGGACAATCATGATTTATGCTAGCATCGTGATGCTTGTAGAAGCATACCAGCAGGGATCACTTCGTCCTCCTCTTTACTTGAGAAGTAAGGCATCCTGTGAATCAGGAAGTCAGTTGTCTGCTTTAGGGCTTGTTAGGGCTTGAGGTTTACCTTACTGGTGGAGCACCTGCCACGCCTGGGCAAGGCCCTGAACTACAGAACAAGGCCATCTTCTCTCAGCAGCCCCTATAGTCCTTATCTGGAGAAACTGCTTGCCTGTCCTGTGCCTGAGGAGCAAGGGCCCACCTTGTGTTCTAGGACCAATGTCTTGAAGAAATAGTTTACCCCGGTTTGTCTTTCAGAGTAATTAGACGATAGGTCTCCAGGAAGGGAGCACACCACAGGCTGAGCCACATATGCTCAGTTCTGTACCTCAGTAGCACCTGTCAGATAAAGCATGTCTAGGGTCAGACATCAAAGCCATGGGTGTTTTTTCAAAGTGTATATGCTCAGTGTCCTCAAGTGGGTCATTTCAACTGCTCTAGGGCTGTTCCTGACTATCCTCTTCATAAATTCCCAGAGTGTGCAGCAGCCTGCCCTTGCTGTACAAAACACCACAGCATCACAATGGAAACAGGAGTGACAGTGAACACAGTCTGAACAGTGGGAGACCTAGGGGAGACCATTGGACACTACAGTAGCTCTAAATTTGGGTTCATGCACAAAGCTGCGAGGAGGCAACTGCAATTCTAAGCATAGGGAATTCTAGCCACACAAGTCTGGTCATCTGCTTTGGGTGATCTTATAATGGTCAAAAAGAACAATCCAGATGTCTATTGGACACATACAGTAAATGTTGTATATTCATACAGCAGGACCCTATTTGGCAGCTAAGAGGAATGCATTACTGAAACATGCTACAATGTGGATGAAACTTGGAAACAATACTATATGAAAAATACCCCTGTATGGTCTTTATTTACATGCACAGAATGGGCAAATCTATAGCCAGGAGGCAGATCGGTGGTTTTTCTGGAGTTGGAAGAAGATAATGACTCTGTTAATGGATGTGGGTTTCCTTTGAGGTGACAAAAATGTTTTAAAATTGAGTATAGTGCTGATGCAACGCTGACTAAGCACTGCTAAGTTGTAGGTGTTGGATAAATGAGTTGTATACAATGTGAACTATAATACACAACATTTTTACTATGTTTATTTACCTAGGTGATGTGGGTGTGGGCATGTGTACCGTGGGGCATGTGTGGAGGCCAAAGGACTGACTACTTGTGTAAGTCTAGTCTTTCCTACCACGCAGGTGCTGGGGATCGAACTCAGGACATCGAACTTGATAGCAGGTGCTTTTACTTGCTAAGTCATCTCATTGTCCCTAAAACTTGCTGTTTGTTTAAGTTGAGGGGAATTTCAGGTACAAACATCTGCAAAAACTGAGTGCCGGATTCTGATTGGGTCTGTGTAGCTGGGCCTTAATCTGGTAATAGCAAGCGTAGGCTTCATGATGGCAGCCTGCGGGGAGCATAGCTGCTGAATCTCATATTAGGTTTCCAGCCTCCAAAAGTGTAATAAGTAAATGACCAAGTGTATAATGTGAATGACCAAGTCAGTGCTAAAGTGTTGCAACTCCAGGAAATTAACATATACCACAACTAAATGAACATCAGCAGGGCTCTATGTATTGCTGAGCGTTTTGTTTGCCTCCCTCCTGATACTATTGCAGTTTTCAGTTATAACTGAAGCCACAGAACGTAACTACACAGATCTAACCATGGGGACACCATGAACCGCTTCCTGAGCGGAGGACATGCTACACATACATGACTAGTTCCTCCAGCAAATGTTGAGAAAAGAAAACCTGGGGAGTATGCCATAGAGGAAAGGGACATGCCAACCAAATGTAACCATGATCCTCCTGATTTTAAACAGCCTATATAAAAGACAGTTTTGAAATTGTAAAATTGATCCAGGCTAATTATATGATAATTATAACTCTTAGTTTATTCGAGTAGCAGTGATATGTGGTTTTGTTAATATTAAAAAGAACTTGTCTGTTACAAGTCAACCTTTAGATATTTACAACTGAAGCACTATAATACCTGAGATTCACTGTAAAATATTCCAGCCAAAGAAACAAAAAAGGGAGGGATAGGTGTAACAACAAAGGTAAAATATTGTTTATTAAATCCACATAATGTTACATACAGTCTCAACATTCTTGTCTATGCTTAAAGATAAAAATTATGAGAATTAATATTGAATGAGAATATTTTCTTACAATAAAATGTTAACATGCCCAAGAACCTCATATAATGATGAACATTCAAGCGTGGGATGGATGTTGTAGGTCTGTCTGGTGAGTCTGCAGATGATGACTTAGAAAAGCTGACAATTAGGTGTCTCATGTCACATGTAGATGTGTTCACAGTGTGTACTTAGTGGACATGTAGTCTGTATGGTTGTACTAGACCATGCTCAGACCATGCCACTTAAATATCACCTTACATTTCCTTTCAAACCGGCTTCCACAAATTATGCAACCAGCTATATTTATACATCTATGTGTGTAAATATTTATATATTTGATATAAATTTATGTTAAGTCCACATGTCTATGTATGTGTGTGTGTGTTGGTATTCGGTTTGTGGTAAAAATTTCCTAGGTCTGTTCCTAGTCAAGCAAATAGGTAAAAAAAATTGTTGTTGTTTTTAAACTGCACCTGGAATTAGCTAGTGAGGTCCTACTTTGTCCCACTGTTGCTATGACTAAAAAGATACTTTTTATTTTCTGGTTTTTGGAGACTGAGAAAGTAAATCCTCAGAAGTAAGTAAAAGATGCTAAGAGATAATAAACTTATTTCATAATGTAAAAATATTAGTAAAGGGAGAGTGAAATGCTACACTCTCACTGGCCACATTATTTGGTATTCCTCTTAAATGTAGCTTCATTCTTTAAAGCTAGGTAATGTTCGTGTGTTTTTAAAGCGATTTCATTCCACCTAGAAAAAAACTGAAAAACGTCAATAAGTCAAATACCTGTATACCTTCATCTATATTTGCTAATGTTCTTTCTTTTTCTTCTTAGTCTGTAACTCCAGCTCCAGGAGATACAATGCCTCTGTTGTCACTGTACTCGCATACAAAGACATGGACACACAAATAAAAATAAGTATTTCTTAAACAGACTATTTCCTCCAATTTGTATGTGAGTTAAATTGTCTTTTTAAAGAAAACATTATCTAATAGGATTTCCCTAATTATTTCCTCATGATTGTACTTCAGTTTTAATTTGATACAAAACTAATTCTGATATGACATGGGGAACCACACATCATTAACTTCTTCCACACTGGGTGATGACAGGGTGAATCACATTGTTATTGTGGGGGCATTGGTGGCGCACGCCTTTAATCCCAGCACTTGGGAGGCAGAAGCAGGTGGATCTATGTGAGTTTGACACAGCCTGGTCTACAAGAGCTAGTACCAGAACAGCCTCCAAAGACACAGAGAAACCCTACCTCAGAAAAAAAAAAATTGTTATTGTGGAGACACATCTTTGCGTTGTAGAGGTATGTGGTCGCCTTTTTAAACTCTTGTGGATGTTCTCTTCCCAGCACCTTTTGGCACTGTAATTTGATGATGGACATCGCTTTGCCACACTCAGAGTTGGCACACATACCAAATGCTTTTTATGAATATTTAAAGAGAGGCCACAGGCCTTTATAAAAGTACTTCTCTTATAGCTCATCCCCTGGTATTCCTGCATTTGGCTCATGTTAAAAATTGTAAAATGCCATCACGGTTTTGTAGTGCTGATTTGCTGCTCAAAAGTTTAGACTGAGGATGCGGTCCACACTATCTCCCAGCATTCCCTGCTGCCATTTGGGGCTAAAGTCTGCTATGCCCAGGGTTCTCTGTGTGCATTTTTTTCCAGTCACTGGGCTCTGCCCATCTCTCACCTTGCCCAGATGTTCTCTCTGCTCTTTCAAATCATTCACATCCTTGGAAGTCTCTTAAGTGTAATTCCCAAGCCCTCTGCTGTACAGGAAGTGATATTGTTTGTCTGGATGGACAGTTTGCTGTGTCTAGCCACTGCCAACAGCACAGCTGTCTGTCTTCAAGGCTTTGTTATAACAGATACACAAAGTACGTAAGCTAAAAAGACTAGTTGAGCATCTTCCTTACCTGCCGCATAATCCCCTCCCTCCTATCAGCCAACCACTAGTAAATTCAGTATTGTCTCCTCCTTTATCTTCCTTCCCACCTCACCATGTTTGTTGAGCATCCTAAAAATTTCTTTTTTTTTTTTTTTTTTTTTTTTTTTTTTTGGTTTTTTCGAGACAGGGTTTCTCTGTGGCTTTGGAGGCTGTCCTGGAACTCCCTTGGTAGTCCAGGCTGGTCTCGAACTTACAGAGATCCGCCTGCCTCTGCCTCCCGAGTGCTGGGATTAAAGGCGTGCGCCACCAACGCCCGGCCTAAAAATTTCTTTTAAAATTATCTTGTTTATATGTTCTGGTTACAGAATGCATTCCTTCTGTAAACATTTTTTAAAGTTTTTGTTTACTTAAAACTAAACTGTCAATACACTGCTACTACATTTAACTTCATTCATTCTCCAATACATAAATAAAAATGTACATCCATTCTCTTTTTGAAGGCATTATGGGTGCTTCTTGTTCCTATGGCTTCCGTAAACAGTTAGCTACTTCTCTTGTCACTAAAAACCCAACAGATGCAACTTGAAGGAGAAGAGATTTATTTTGACTCAACTTCACATGATACCATCCTTCATGGCAGGAAAGATTTGGCAGAAGCCTCAGTTCATGGTAATGGGAGTGTGTCCAAGGCCCTGTTGGCTCATGGCCATTTCATAAAGCAAAATGCATTCAGTCCCACCTCAGAAATCCCCAAAGTCTTAATAGGCAACACCATTCAAAAGTCCAGAGTGCTTTGGGAAGCAAAGGAAAATTCTTAGCTCTGAGTCCCTGTAAAACAAATGTTACAGCACACAAAGGTACCGAGTAAACATCCCCATTCTCAAAAGTCAGTCTGGGAGAACAGCAACAGAAGAGTGATCCAGTGCAAGAGTAAATCCAGGCAGGCAAACAAACCCTGCATCTCAATGTCCAGTACCTGGAATAAACACAGTGGTATCATCCAGGCTCCCGCAGGCTTCCTACAGCCAAGCTGCCTGAAGCATTCATGGGCTTTCTCTTGGGCTGGCTCCAGTCAGCGGATGTTCTATGTTCTGGTCATCTCCAAAATCCTGGGGTCGCCGTTAAAACTTAAGGTTCACCTTCATAGCTCCACACAGTAGCCTCTCAGCCATTCTGAGAATCTGCCCACCCTATTGTCCTCACAGGCTTGTTCAAGCATCTCTGACCCCATGACCCTTACATTCTACTTTCCTACAAAACCAGTTTCATATGGATGGTGCCAAGTCCTGTTGCCATCTTGAAATGTAAATAAGCCTCTCAGGCTATGGCTGTAGCATTCTCTGAGCTCCTGAGCAGCCAAAACAGAAAGACTGCTACTCTAGGTATTTTATTCCTACCTGAAATTTTGACATGAAAAGCCTTCAGATGGTTTTCATTTTCACACTCTAGCCTTCCATGGGTGCAGTCTTGTTCCTATAATACTAGCAGTGTAAAGTTCATGGTTCCTCTTTAATGGCACTAGTCTCTTTAACAGTTCCAACCACTTTGTACCCACCCTGTCTTTGAAGGCAATAAGTTTTTCTAAAACTTCATGGGTTTTTTTTTTCACATCTTACTACTCTTTATTTCCTCATTCACCCTATAACTCCATCTAAAATCAGGAAACAGCTACCGTGCCCCAGCCTGAAAGTTGAAATTCTCTTCACCAAATAAATCATTACTTTTGAATTTTACACAAATGTCCTCTGTCTAGTCCAATTTCCCAATGGATTCCTTTTCTCTGAAACAGCATTCTAGGACTTCTCCAGCCTACAGCTCCAAACTTTTCTAGATACCACCAACAAGCCAGTTCTGAAAGCCTAAGAACCACATGGTAGGTTTATTGCAGCAAACCCCACTTCTGGTACCATTTCATTACTTTCCTCGCCACAATGAATCACAACATGATTTACTTGGACTTCCATATCCAGAGGCTACAGCTCACATGGTGAAGCTTGCACAGCAGAGGGCACAGATCATGTTGGCATGAGTGCCCGAGAAAGGATGGGGGTGAGTGTGATCAGAACGCAATACCTATATGGAATTGTCAAAGAATAGCTGTAATGTGTAGTCTTCCTGCTAGCTACTGCCATTTGTTTTGGGATTCCTGCCTGGGTCCCGTTACCACTTTAGCCCCTAAATAACACACAGAACACTATATTAATTATGAAGCTGTTGGCCGTTTGCTATGATTTCTTATCGGCTACCTCTGACTTAATTATTAACCCATAATTGCTAATCTGAGTATTTCCATGTGATCTTCTCTTACTAGAGAAAAGGGTCCAGACCTCTTACTTCTCCCACATCCTACATCGTGACACTCTCTGTGTCTCTGTTTCCCAGAATCCTCCTCTACTTTTAGTCCTTCCTATCTTGTTTCCCTATTGGCCAACAGTGCTTTATTCAGTAACCAATAAGATAAGCACATACACAAAAGGACTTCCCCCATCATCTCCTCTTTTCTGTCTAAATAAAAAGAAAGGTTTTAACTTTAACATAGTAAAATATATAACGAGACAGTTATTAAGCAAGAACTATAAATGCAATATTTAGTCCATTAACATTTAGCAAGATTTAAAGAGAATATCATCTATCTTTGTGAGTCTAAAGTCTTATATGTAACTTATCTTTTATCATAACTAAGAAAAACTATAATTATAACTAGCTGTCTTCAACTCCATCAAAGACCACAGAAGGATAATATATAAGCACTAGAATTGACAGAGGCATCTCACTACCTGGACAGTCACCCGAAGTTCAAATGCAACGTTGGGGCATCCATCTTCAGCCCATAGGCCACAATGTGCCTAGAAGACTTCTCAGCAAAGCAGGAAATTTCAAACTGTCCACCTGCATTGGCAGTTTGTCAGTCATTTTTCTGTGTCCTGCAGAATGTCTGACAGACTCTTCATGAAGCACGAACCCTGTAGGACTGTCTATCTTGTTTTGTAAGTTTAGCAGTCACTTTTTTGTGGGTCCTGAGTGTCCAGTTTATATAGCAACAGTCCAGGCAAGAGCAGTTACTTGCCCAAATGGCTAATCTTGCCATGTTGAAAGCAAACTCCATAACGAGTTTCTTCGATGCCCATCTTCCTCTCAGATGTAATTGGTGCTGCCAGGAGCAGACATTTCTCATTGTCAAGAAAAACCCTAAACCATTTTAAATGCCATTTTTTGAAGGTTTTGAAAGGCTTGAAGACTATCTGTCTATCTCAAATATATCTCTGTATATCTAGAAAAACTAACTCACTTTACTAAGTTTTGACTATTATCAGTATAAACACAATACTTAAACAAGAGGAGAAATACACACATCACAAAATTGACCTTAAATTTGTATCAAAAAATGAAAATCCATTCCAAGACAAAGTATTCATTTCTATACCATAATCCTCTTTTACCTTTAAAAAGATATTGGTTATGATCATTAATCATTTATAGGCAACCCCATTTAAATGAAAACAAACATAAACAATAGTTGGGAATTTGGTCGTTGCTCATTCCAAACTGCTTCTTGCTGGTTGGAAGCACTGTCTATAACATGGGGATCATGACAAAACACAGAAACCTGACCAAGTCCTTATTTTTTGTAGTCTGCAAGGCTACATCATCTTAGCTGTTTTAGATGTTGGATCACTTGGGACACAACTTATGGAAATTTTGGTTCATCAAACCATACTAGTCTGGAAGAAACCCACAGCTCCTCATTTTCTGTGGAAACAAAAGAAGTTCCTTTCCCAAGTAACTTGTCCTTATATTTAAACTTAGAAGTCACAGTATTTTTAAAATATAAGCTGGATTAATTGAGTGGCATTTATAATCAAGTATATTTCAGCAGTTGTTTCTTCCTTAGCAAATGAACAACTGAAAAACACAATAGCATATAGTATCCAGATTCTCTGTGTATTTTTCATCTTTACATGGCTTTTTTTTATTACTCTATGTCTTTTAATTTTACTTTTTTGAGACAGGGTTTCTCTGTGCACTTTGACTGGCCTTGAACTCCCTCTGTATATCAGGCTGGCCTTGAAATCACAGAGATCTGCTTGCCTCTGCCTCTCGAGTGCTGGGATTAAAGGGCGTGCACCACCACACCCAGCTACTCTCTTTTTTTTTAGTATCTTGTTTCTTTTTCTGTCCCAAGTCTACCTATATTTTTAAACACAATATAAACCTTTTAGAGGTTTTATGTCATCTGAATCTGTCTTATATAGGCCAAAGAGCATTGTTAAAATTAAAGTGGAAACAGCTGCTGGCTTTCCAACATGACGGGTATAAGTTTGCTGCCAGCACTGCCGTCTGTGCTTACAGCCTCAGTCTATGCCGGCATCCAGCGCATGGTGCTGGCTTGGAGATGTGGTCACAGCCACTTCCAGCTGCAAGTACACACCATTCCACTGTTGGCAGGGCCTCTTAAAAGAGCCCTGAAGTTTTTTGCCGCTTATGCCGAGTCAGGAAGAGCCCCTTAAGCGAGCCTTGTGAGTCTGCTTGTCTCTAGCAAAACAGAGCCCACCTGAGAAAAATGCTGCTACCAAGAAGCCGTGCTTCTCTCTGTTCTTTTGCTTCTAAAATCCCTTTTAAGCTCTTGTCATTCTACAGGGAAATTCATACCTCACTCCTGACACCATATGTAGAGTGAAGTCTTCCCACCAGCTGCCGCCATTTGTTTTGGGATTCCCAAGTAACACACAGGACACTATATTAATTATGAAGCTGTTGGCCGTTAGTTGTGGTTTCTTAATGGTTAGCCCTGACTTAATTATTAACCCGCAATTACTAATATATATATATATATATATCGTTTTTTACGAGGATTTCTCTGTATTGCTTTGGAGGCTGTCGGTCCAGCCCAGCCTCAAACTCACAGAGATCCACCTGCCTCTGCCTCCCGAGTGTTGGGATCGAAGGTGTGCGCCACCACTGCCCGGCGACTAATATATATTTTTATAAGGTCTTATCTTACCAAGAATGCCAGACTTGCGTTCTCTCCTCCCAGGATCACATGGCAACACCCCACTCATGACTATATTTCCCAGAATCCTCCTCGACTCCTAGTCCCCCTATCTTGTTTCTCTATTGACCAACAGTGCTTTATTTATCAACCAATAAGGTAAGCACATACACAAATAGCTTTTTAAAACAATAACAAAAGTAAAGGAAGAAAAAAGGAAAGAAGGAAGCGAAAGTAAAGTAGAAAACTTGTGTCCAAAAGGTTCTTCTTTTTTTAAGTTTTATAAAAACTTAAGGAAAAAAAAGTACAATGTTCCCCCTTATTCCATCTCAGATTTTAGGTAACTAAAGCGGAGTGCTTTTTTGGGAAGACCCTAATGTGTGTGTCGTTTCTGTACTTCTGAGATATTCTTCCATTCAGCCAAGGTCATCAGAATTTCAGAAGCACTAGGTCGATCCGTGGGTTTCTTCGAGAGTAATTTCGTTAGAAGCCTTTTCTGTAATTACAGTTAGGAATCAGTACTAAGAAAGAAAACAGTGGAGAAAATAAAACTGATGATTTTCAGATGCTTACTTCCTTGCTGCCAAATATGTCGTCATGGAAGATGCCATCTCTTAGGTCCGTGAAAAACTGAAATGCAACAATTAGACGTATTTACTAGGAAGTGATTTATATGGGAAGAAAAATGAAATACAGTAATGACTGGGGGTACGCTAAATCTAGAATGTTTCTTAAATGTAGGACTCTTTAGCCAAGAAGCAAGCAGATCTCCCCTCCCTAAACCTACCCTGATCTTACAACCACCCTTAAGATTCAGTGCTTTGAAATCATGATTACATGAGATTTAGCATTTCCCTTCTGTTTTGGAATGCTAGGCAGTACATATTTATCATCCATATTTCAGGGAAGATAAAACTGTTGACTTCAGGCAAGCCCCTGTCCTGAGCTTCCAACTGTCTCTAGAGGTTCCCCAACACTTATCCACCTACCTAACAAAGCCCAAACTCTTCCCTCCAACCTGTCTTTCCAGCCCCACCAATCATCGGCTTCAGATAAAACCACACTGCCTGCTATTCCCAACACACACTGCACATTCATATCTCCATGCTGGGGGCTCCACGCTTTCTATTTCAGACTGTTAGAATGAACTAACCCAGGTTAGTTGTCTTCTGACCTCCATAAATAAGCGTGTGTGTGTGTGTGTGTGTGTGTGTGTGTGTGTGTGTGTGTGTGTGTGTGTGCATATAATCTGAAAAAAAACCTGACCCTTCAGTACCCAACTTACATGTCTCTGTGAAAACTAATCCAGACTACTTCTGGGAAGATCTTTCAGCTGCTTCCACTGACTTTCTGTCTTATAAAACACTTAGTCATTCCCTGCTGTTATCTTTCCTCTTAGAAAATGAATCCCTTGAGAACGTGGCTTATTTTTATATTCATGCACTTAAGAGCAGAAACTGCCCTCTAATCAGTGAAATTTTATTGGCACACTCAAATAGAAATCTTACGGGATATACACATATTCTATAGAAAGCCAACGTTTTCTTAATCTGTAGTAAAATGGCAGTCAGCTCTTGAAAGAGAATATACGTGTCACTTACGGCCAGAAGTGACGTGGTCAAGCACACCCTCGCCCAATGGCAACAGCAGCAGTGCTTGAAGGGTTACAACCAGCTGCTTTAGTTTACCTGATTCTTTCCTGGGATAGTTACCTTTGACTTTTCTATAATAGTGATGCATATGTGAAGGAGTTCAGCTAGAATAAGTCCTAGAGCAAAGATGTCCACTTCTTTTCCATATTCCTGTAAAGATAACTGTAAGGCAAAATGCATGTCTTTGTTACTCTAGGCCTTTTGAGGTAAAAGCAGCTATAAATTATATATATTACATAAAGTATATATTATATCAAATATATGACATCACAATGTCTGTTTACTCTGTATCTCATGGAAGTGACGCTAAGATTAGCCACCACATAGAAATGGAGGGAACACAAAAAGCTATAATAAAACATCTACAGCCAGGTTTTTAATAGATGGTAAAACTGAGAGCATTTCTACCAAAATTAAGAGTGAGACAATGGGACTCTTAGCTAGACAAGAGGAAGATATAAAACATTCAAATAGGAAAAGAAGCCAAATCCCCATTTATAAACAATACAATCCTGTACAAAAGAGGTTCTAAGGAATCTACCAAAATAACTAGATACAAAGTCAGCATTCAAAAATCAGTAGTTTGGGGGCTGGGTGAGGTCACTCAGCTATTTCAAGTACTCTCTTCATTAGCAAAGAACCTGAATCCAGTTCCCTGCACCTATATGGTGATTTGTAGCTATCTGTCCCTCCATCTCCAGGGTATCTGACCTCTACAGGTACCATGCATGCACATATATATATATATACACATACATACATACAGGAAAAACGATACACATTAAGTCAATCTTTAAAAAAAATCAGACCAGGCATTGGTGGCACATGCCTTTAATCCCAGCACTCGGCAGTCAGAGGCAGGTGGATCTCTGTGAGTTCGAGGCCAGCCTACAGAGTGAGTTCCAGGACAGCCTCCAAAACAATACAGAGAAACCCTGCCTCAAAAAAAATCATCATTATGTTTTCTATGTCCTAACAATAATGGGTGTGCTAAGAGAATCAATTGATCTTATTGATGACAGCTTCAAAATATTACTAACAATGGGTGTGGTGATACATACCTTTGATCCCAGCACTTGCAAGGCAGAGGCAGGAGGATCTCTAACTTTGCAGTCAGCCTGGTCTACAGAGTGAGTTCCAGGGCAGCCAAGGCTACACAGAGAAGCGCAGACCTCCTGGGCTGGTGAATCAGCAGAATTAACATTGAAAATACTACAGTACTAAAAGTAAACTACAAATTCACTGTAGGAGGGAGGAATGTTGAGCAAAGGGGTCAAAACCAGGTTGGAGAAACCCACAGAAACAGCTGATGTGAACAAGGGGAAGCTCATGGACCCCAGACTGATGGCTGAGAAGCCAGCATGGACTGGTCCAGATCCCCTGAACGTGGGTGTCAGTGAGGAGGCCTCAACAATCTATGGGACCTTGAGTAATGGATCAGTATTTATTCCTGGCATCAGAATGTACTTTGGGAACCCATTCCACATGGGGGAGGGTCTAGGCCCTGGCCCGGATGATATGACAGACTTTGGAGATTCCCCAGGGAGGGTGAGTGGAGTGGGGATTGGGTGGGGGGGTTGGGGGGTTAGGGGGCCGGGGGAGGAGCTGGGATTGACATGTGAAGCAAGCTTGTTTCTAATTTAAATAAAAAATAAATTAAGATAAAAAATTTATATGGAAGAATAAAAGATCCCAGAGAGCTAGGGGAAAAAAAACTAAGCAAAAAGAACATCATTAGCGATATCATTATATTTGATTCTAAGTCATGCTACAGAAACATTACAACAAAAAACTATGAGGTGTCACAGAAGAAGCAAGGACTGATGGAGCAGAATCAAAGACCCAAAGCTAAACCCACATGGCTGCCTGATTCTGACAGAGTTGTCAAGAGCATACATTGTAGAAAAGACTGCATCTCCAAGAAACAGTCCTGGGAACTTGGAGACCCACCCTCATTCCCCCCTCCCTCTCCCTCTCCCTCTCTCTCTCTCTCTCTCTCTCTCTCTCTCTCTCTCTCTCTCTCTCTCTCTCTCTCTCTCTCTCTCTCTCTCTCTCTCCTTCCCCTACTGCCTGTGTGTATGCATGTGTGTATGAGTGTGTGTGTGCATGTGTGTGGTGTGAGTGTGAGTGTGTGTGTGTGTGTGTGAGCTTGCACCTATGTCTATGTGCACAAAAGTCAGTTTGGACTGGAATAAAGACCCAAAACTGTGAAAGTGTTAGAGAAAAATATGGGGAAACATTATAAGATACAGGATTATGCAAAGACTTTTTGGAAAGGGTTCTAACAGCCCAGGAAATAAGGTCAAGATGTGACAAATGAAATTAAAGACTTCTGCTCAGCACACGAGGGGGATATGGGGAAGGATATGGTAAAGGTAAGAGATCTTCTTTATGAAATTCAGCACTAATTGCAGTGAATATACACCAGTAAAATATGTTTAAATTGTTAAGATGGTAAATTTACCACATTAATCATTTTATGTGAACAACTCCATGACTGTAAGCACTTTCACAACATTTTGTAACCATTACTACACTACTATCTATTTCTAGAATTTTCCATTGGGCCAAACAGAAATTGTACCTCTTATACAGTTAGTTCCCTACTTATTTCAGCTCTCTGGTAACCTCTTTTTCACTTTTTGTCTCCAAGAATTTTACTTAAAATGGCATTTTTAAATATGCACTGTATGGTAATGAAGTAATTATATGATATGTCATCAATGAGGAAATCAGGTGACAGCCCTCCTACATACATATCTACAAGTTAATTCAAACTAGGTCCAAGTGTTAGGAAAAGTATCCTCTTCTGATATGAAATGTATCCAAAGTAAAAAAAACGAGAAGACTGGTAACCATCAAGAAACTACAGATGTGGCCAGGCAGTGGTAGTACACACCTTAAGTCCTAGCAATCAGGAGGCAGGCAGATCTCTGTGAGTTCAAGGACACCCAGGGCTACACAGAGAAACACTGTCTCAAAATACAAACAAACAAACAAAACTACAGATAAACACGACAAAATCTTCTAATCTAATCCACAAGTAGTGTTATAAGCAAAGAAGTAACAGGAAGAGAAAATTGCAGTGTAGAATCATACACAGAAATTATCAGCCAAAATGTGGAAAGATTTCTTGCAAATATATAGCAAAAGACAGACTATTTATGAAAAATGGGGAAACCAAACTGTACGAATGAAACTGCATGTATGGTGAATAAACAAACTCATCTCCCTCTTTAGTGATTACCCCTAAACAACACATTATACAACTATGTGTACACTATTTCATTTCTTAGGTATTACTTGCAGCACAGATGGAGGCATCCCTCAAGTTTATTGGTTCAATGGGGTTATATTCAGTTTCAAAATATAATGTAGAGGAGCTGGGCAGTAGTAGTACACACCTTTAATCCCAGAACTGAGGAGGGGGCAGAGGAAGGTGGATCTCTGTGAGTTCAAGGCCAGCCTGGTCTACAAAGCTACACAGAGAAATCCTGTCTCAAAAAAAAAAAAATATATATATATATATATACACATATGGGCCTGTGAGATGGTTTAGCAGGTAGTGGTTTATGCCTCCAAACCTAATGACCTGGTCTCTGTGAGTACTGTTTGAATGTAGTACACAGACATACAGGCAGACAAAGCACTCATACATTCAATATACATATGTATACATGGTATATCTATGGTATACACATAATAAGCACACATGGCATGTATGGTATGTGTGGTGTGTGTAGCATTGTATATATGGTATATGTGTTGTATGTAGTATATATAGTATATATGGTGTATATGTGGTATATGCATGTAAGTATATATATATATATATATATATATATATATATATGTATAGAAAAGCTATCAGAGATACCTGACACCTTCTCAGAATCTCTGGCCTCTATATGCTCATGTTGAAACACTCATAGAGCACACATATGTATACATGCCAAAACGAATTTGGACATACAACACACACACATCACACACACATCACACACACATCACACACACACACACAAACACACACACACAGAGTAAGAAAATAAGGAAGCAAACTATACCTAGACAGAAAGGAAAGAGACTTTACCTGTTCTGGGCTCATGTATAGAAGAGATCCCGTATTCTTTGTTCGATTTCCATCATTTTCCAGGGCTGTTACGAGGCCGAAGTCTCCAATCTTTATGTGTTTTTCATCCACTAAAAATATATTACTTGGCTATAGAAAAAATAATTAATATATGTGATTTGAACCAACTATTGCCACAGGTCCCAAGAATCTTTTATACTAATTTGTATGATATTTATCCTTCCACGGGCAGCCCAAATCAGGGAATTTAATGCATTGGGTCTTTAAAATGCAAAGTGAAAAAAGATGAAAAGACTTTTAAATGACAGCAAAGGTGGCTTGGTTCACACCTGCCTCCAAATATCAGAACAGCTGTCAACTGAAAGATTCTCTTTGCAGGGTCCCACAAGAGGGATCCAGGACTGGAGAGTGGGCATGAGTAAAATATTTGCTTTAATACACCCTCGTCTAGGGAAGGTTCAAGGAATGGAATTAGAGCTCCCCGTGCCAGACTAGGGCTAGACATCCCCCTGAAGGAATGCTGCTGGTGTGATTCGGGGTCTGATGGGAATTAAAACCTGGTCGTCCAATTTTGAGAGTCTCTGAATGGGTCAGTTCTCAGCAATGTTGCAGGATTTCTCCCCAGATTCTCACAAGAGTTTAGTAAGTATATCCCCCCCTCTACTTCCTAAGTAGAGCTGGTAATTATCACAAACACCTTTTCTATGCCTTTCCTTTGGGTTGCTGCTGTTGTTTGGGCTGGAGGGGTGCAGTTTTGTTGTTTTGTTGTTGTTGTTTGGTTTGGTTTACAGGGTTTACAGCTTCAAACTCAGTGTGTAGCCAAGGATGACCTTGAACTTTTGACCCATTCACACCTTTACCTTCTGAATCCCAGGATTAAGAGGAAGAGCCACCTGGCCCGGTTTATGTACAGCTAGGGATCAAATTCAGAGCTCCACGAATGTTCCAATCACTCTAACAAATGAGTTACATCTTTTGTCACTCCAAATATTGCAACTTATTTAAAGCATATTTAAAATAGGTGTGCGTGTGAGTAGGACAATTTGTGTCATCATCTTTCTATATTCATGTGGGTTACAGGAATCAAACTTAGATAACAAACAGCTTTACCCACTGAGTCATCTCAATGGCCGAAATGTGTATATACAAGCGTGTGTGTATGCTCATGCACACACAACAAATGAATACTGGCCACGTGTGCCACACAACTCTGTAGGCAGTACTGACTGAAAACTGGAAGACTGCTGGTGACAAAGTTCATATTTTTGCCATTCTTTCAAAAACTAGATATTCAATATAATGTTCACACACACACACACACACACACACACCTACAAGAGGGCCTAGCTAAGGAATGAGAGATTCGGTGAGGAGCCCAGGGAAACGCTTCTGAGAAACCCTGTGCAGAAATTAGCAATGAGATTCAAGCTCAGTCATTGGATTGACTTAAAGTCAGCAATGAAAGAAGGATATTTGTGTGAAGTAGACACCGAGACACAATGTCCCAAGCTAAGCTTGGAGCAGTTGCATGGGATGGCAAGTTCTAGCAGACTAGAGAAATCAGCCAATCACAAATTGAAAACTAGATAAAATATAAAGTCATTAAACTGTGTGTTTATTAGCTAACAAACACATTTCCCACTTACCTTAAGGTCTCTGTGAATTAAGCCTTTTGAGTGTATATAATCCACCCCTGTTGTTATTTGTTCAGCTAATTCCAAAAACAAATCATTGTCTACTTTCCTCTGCTTGACACTTGTCATCCATTGCTCCAGAGTCCCTTTATCACAGAATTCCATTTGAATGAAAAGGCACTCTGTCTTTGATCTGGATACAAAATTCACACTATGTTAAAAGTAGCAATGGAGAGAAATTTATTTTTAAAAATTCTAACATATCTTATGAAACTCAAAACATGTCTCAGAATGGAAATCTGAATATAGTAAATTTGAAGTAAAATAAACCATTTTATGTAAGTCATAATTTCTCAAGTATCCAGAGCTTTAATTGCTTGTCTCTAAAGTATGAGCCTATATATTCTTTAATGAAAATCTCTGATCATTTCTGATAATAAATATGAGTAGTCCTAATTGAAGAAATCCAGATTTTTCATTATTAGATAAAGCAATTTGGAAACATTTTAATTAATCTTCAGTTAACTGAACATCTGTTTTACAAGGGGCACAGAACAGACACCTTAAAAATGAGAAAACAAGTTAGGTACTACCCTTATCGTCATGGGGATTAGAGTCTTACACAAGAGGGAAAAAAATTCTAGGATGACAAATAGCCCATTGAGAAACTCCTAGAGCCAATAAAGTGGCTGCCGTAAGACAGAAGTCAGAGAACTGATTTTGTTAACCAGTTTCTATGTTCTTCTGAGCTAATATCAAATTTATATTTTCAAAACACACATGCTAGAAAATATGAAGATGCAGAAAACAGTTCACTCACAGCTAAGGAAGCCTTTTATCTGCTGATGGTCACTAACTCCTAGAGTTCTCAGGGGCACAAAGACGAGATAGGACAATGGCGGGAGGGGGTGGATGATGAGATCTTCAGTAGCATCAGGAAATTTTGTTTGTTTGTTTTTGAGATGGTTTCTCTGTGTAGCTTTGGAGCCTATCCTGGCACTTGCTCTATAGACCAGGCTGGCCTCGAACTCACAGAGATCCGCCTGCCTCTGACTCCCAAGTGCTGGAATTAAGGGCGTGCACCACCAACACCCAGCTTTAACTTTTGTTTTTAAAGATTTATTTTCAAATAAATGTGTTTGTGTCCCTCTGTGGGTGTGTGTACATGAATTCAGGTGCTGACAGAAGCCAGAGGATACCCGGGAAGTGGAATTACAGGTGTTGTGAGCCACCTGACATAGTTGCTTGGCCCTCTGCAGGAGCAATTCGTATTCTTACCACTGATCCATCTCTCCATCCCATTAAAAAACTATTTCTAAAGTAAGTTTAAGCTAAGCATACTGGCATGTGCCTGTGATCACATTACTTGGGGGCTGGGGCAGGTGGACTGCCCTGAGGCCAATCTGTGCTATGTAGTGAGTCTAAACAAAGAAATTAAAAGCAAGTTTGGAAGATAAAGAGGAACAGGGACAGATTTTTCGTTGCCTCCTTTGCCTGTAGAACAAGCGACCACAGTATCTTTGGGAGGTTGCTCTGATCATTAAATGTGATTATCAACAGCCTCTTCTAGTGGTCCCCACACAGTAAATGACAAGTGCCTTCCATCCCGTCGCACCTATGGGAATTTCTTCTTACCGTGGGGTGGCACTGTTCATGCTCTGCTCTGTATCGTACTCCCAGTCCTGTCCCAGCCAACAAAAATGGTACTGGACAATATTGACATGGCTGAGTGCCGCCAGCGCCTTTACTTCACGCACTTCCTTCCTAGTTAAAAGGACCCAGAAAACAAATGCACCGTTACCCATCGTTACCCATCCCTGGTACCTACAGAACACTGCTAGGAGCAGGACGCAACCACCCAGGCTCCTCTGATCAGCAGTCACCATGACTCCCACACCAGGTGTTAGCAGGGGAGCCAGAACTCAAAAGGAAACAAAAGTTAATGCACAGAACAACCATGGCTGTTCTCATTCTCAACACACCAAAAAGGACATGGCTGACATCCAAAACGTAAACATTTGTATCTCCTTTTAGGTGTCTGTGACTCAATTTTCAGCAGCTAAAACGTATTTGATGTTCTGTTTAGAAGATGTGCTGAAATCTTGGGTTTTTACAAGCAAATCCCTTTTGGGCGGCAAAGGCAGAACCCGATTTTGAACTTTCAATGTATGACAAAAATCTATCAAGGGACTGGTTTATGCAAAGAAGCTAAGACTTGGCACCGTGTCATCTTTACAAGGATTGTGTTCAAGAGCTAAGACACTGGGAGTTTCTTGAGGTTACCCTGTGCTAGCTTGTGTTATGTCGGCTTGACACGAGCTGGAGACATCAGAGAGGAGGGAGCCTCAAAACAGAGAAAACTGAGGAAACCACCTTAAACAAGGCAACAGCTTCAGGGGCCAGCACCGTCTCAAAATGCTGCCTTCACATTTCTCAACTGGAATAAACACCACCTTAAGGTATGACCATCTCAAAATAGGCCAAACTCCTCTAGGCACAACGGAAAGTTAAGGAGGGACCAGAATAAATTAGTGAAGGACAGATAAATAAAGCCAGACATTTACTTACTCTGAGTTATATTTAACTCGCTTAATAGCGTAAGTCTTCCCATCGATTCTGTGTTTTGCTTTGAAAACTTGGCCAAATCCACCTGAGCCAATTTCTTCTATGTCTTCAAAATCCTCGTTAAACCTGATTAAGATAGATATTGCTCTTATTCTGAGGCTTAGTAAAGTGAGGATGACTCTTCCCTTATTGTTTTTAATAACGTCCAGTAGAACTCGAGTCACCAAAAAAGTCTTCCTCTTTCTCCTCTTTCGCTCCCTCCTTTGATAGAGAGTTCAATATAACAGCCCATGCCCACCCCCAGCTGTACACAGGACACGATGAAAATGAGGAATTCCGGTCCCAAACGTTTCTTTCCCTCCTTATGCCCTGCACCCCACCATCAAGCTCTGGTCAGCCTGCTAACCCATATCACGACCCTCCTCTCCATTTCCAGAGTCGTCACCCAGGGTCAGCCTCAGGCTCCTGCAGTGGTGGCGCATGGCCTGCTGCCCTATGAGGACTTGGTCTGATCGTGTGCATCTTGCCTAAACCTCCGACAGCCTCGCCTTTGCACGCAGCAAAAGCCAGGAAAGCCTCGAATGTCCGGTAAAATGCCATGCGACGCTTCCCCAACTTCTCTCCCGGCCTCATCCAATCCCACACATCAAGCACAGGCGTTGTCCACAGACGGCCGGCCACACAAGGCTGTTTCCTTTTTGTTTTTTAACCACACTACTATTCTTCTTTAACCCTGGCCTTACTTTTGTAATTACAGATGTAGGCGTGTCGTATAGATATGTCAACACAGATCCTGTAAGTACGGATACGTGGGAGGGGGGGGCAGAGGTTGAGAACAGAGGTCTTCCTCAGTGACTCTCCACCTGTTTTTTATTTTGTTTTATTTTTTGAGACAGAATTTCTCTGGATGTCCTGGAACTCGCTCTTGTAGACCAGGCTGGTCTCGAACCCCCAGAGATCCGCCTGCCTCTGCCTCCCGAGTGCTGGAATTAAAGGTGTGCGCCACCACCGCCAGGTTTACCCTTTATTTTTTGAGACAGGATCTTTCTTTGAACTTGGAGCTTGCTGATTGGTTATGCTGGCTGGCCAATGAGATCAGTGGATCCACGCATGCGCCTCCACCTCTTCCTCCACTCCTGCCAGGGTCTGAGTTATAAGCGTGTGTATTGCTACACCTGTCTTTTTATGGCGGGCTTGGTATTCAAACTCAGGCCTGCATGCTTGCACAGCTGAGCCATCTCCCCACACCCAATTCCTCAATGCCAGTCATCACTTCAAAACTTTTGGAGAGGAAGAATTCTTACTTCTCCAAAGACACTGGCCCTCGCTGGGCCTGATTATGCCACAGCTATTAACCACTTGAGTGGAAACATAACTTAGAACTTAACCTTAAGAAACTTTGTTCATGAGCACGCTTACCATTAGACAAGCTCCCCTTACCTGGAGTCCGTGGTATATTTATTTCTTTGCACATCATTAGATGACAGTTTTCTAAAATTGAGGAAAAAATGCAAAACTCAGATAAAACTATAACCTATGTAACTAGGCTTTATGCTGAGCACTGGGGTTATATATTCTGCATCAGCAATCAGAATGACAAGAAACCGGTGTTCAACTTCAGGGACACGCCTCCTGCTGGTTCTCTTCTGATGATATTTTTTTCATCCCTTTCCTACTTCCCATTTCCACCCTGGCACACTCATGGCTGGCCTGCTATCTCCTCTTTCTCCAGAATCAGAAAGTCCTTAGGGAGAAAGTCACCCGGGTCACTCCCTCTGCCCCTCATCCCTCACTGGCGCCAACTCCAGCGCAGTGGGATGGATGGTCAAACATCACCTCCAAGCAGACACAGCAATACCGCCACGTTCCCTCTTCACCCTCGAGTCTTCAGCCCGACGAATGCCATCAGTGCCAGGAGTCTTGAGTAATGTAGCATCTGCTGTCTCCCTGCTTGCCCCCTTCCCTCGCCCAGCTACTCTCTTCCCTCAGTCAAGTCTACCCTGCCTTGACAACCCTATTCACAAGTTCTCCCTCCCTCCTCACTGCCACCGGCACCAGAGCTGTGGGCCTGATCATGTGGCAAGCTCCTTTTCTCCACCCATCGACCTCAGGAGTTGTATTTTCTTCAATTTACTGCCCAGAAAATATTGGTGGCCCATTATGTCTCCTGCTGCTACCTTTCCTTCATTTCTGACTGTATGTCACTACTCTTCATTGAAAGAAACCAAATTTCCTGTGATTTATATAAAATTTGGTCTTTAAAAAAATGACAAGTTATTATGCTATCTTTACCCTATTCATTTACCAAAAAAAAAAAATACACTTCCCTTAAAAACACTTCCAAGCCCAGATGGATCATCAACAGTGTTTTGCAAAATAACACTCTAAACTGCATCACCACAGGGCTTTATATCTACAGTACATTGTGTGTGTGTGTGTGTGTGTGTGTGGATATGTATGTTTCTCTTAGGCTGAACTGGTTAATAGGTCTCAAGCTTTCCACTATTTCTGAAATACTCTAAAGTAAACAGGTACGATATTCTGCCAATACCACACATACTAGGTGAAGCGCATAGACCAGTGTGAAAGGGAGCCCTAGCCCAACGAACGCTCATTGTACAATGATACTCACACTCGTGGCTTCCTTTTATTTTCTCTGAGCCCATTCTGCAACACAAGGAAAAGGAAAGGCATTTCAGATGAGGAGAGCCATCATCTCAGTCCTGGGGCTGGCTCGATGACCCGGTTCCTTAGTCTGTAAGGTCACCAGTTTCATATATGTGTGCAGTTTTCCCTGACTCTTCTACCGGTGACTATTGCAAAACCTGAACACTGACAATCAAACAGCTGGAAAATGCTATCAAAGGGCCGTTTTGATTTGTATTTTCCCTATCCTCAGAGGTATAAGGCATCTTTTTACTTTGTAAACAGATTGATTTTTATAATGAATTAAGTTATATATATTTTTAAGCTTAGTTTTTGTTTTTTTTCTAAGTAGAAGTGGAACTACACCAAATATTCAGTTGGGTAGGCAAGAAAAAAAAACAAGATAATAGAGATGTTAAAAAGGACAAGGGTAAGATTGGGAGGTAGTTCAGTGGTAGAATTTGTCTAGAATACCTGAGGCTGGGATTTGATTCCCAGCATAGGGAGGGAGGGGGGTGGACAGGAGGGGAAGGGAAGAAAGAAGGAAGGAAGGGAAAAGGGGAGGAAGGCAGGCAGGCAGGCAGGCAGGCAGGAAGGAAGGAAGGAAGGAAGGAAGGAAGGAAGGAAGGAAGGAAGGAAGGAAGGAAGTTAGGGTTGGTCTACAAAGTGGGCAGGGCAGGGTAAGAGAAACATGGAAGAATTTTGCATGTGATGAATGATAGTTAAAGAAAAGAGAAAGGGTAAATGACTGATAATACAATTTAGTAAGGACACATGAAACTAAAATGTAAAACTTATGAAATAATGAAGGGTTTTTTTGGGGGGTACAAGACAGGGTTTCTCTGTGTAGCCTTAGCTGTACTGGAACTCGATCTGTAGACCAGGCTGGCCTTGAACTCACAGAGATCCACCTGCCCCTGTCTCCCGAGTGCTGGGGTTAAAGGTGTGTGCCACTACCACCACCACCCATCAATGAAGGCTGTTTTTAGGTGAAGAGACTAGTACCATACCATGAGAGGAGACTTGAAAAAAACACAGTGGTTGTTTGATGCAGTCTCTGAGAAATCACTTCCAGGCGCTGACAGAGAAGTACTAGAGGAAAAGCATGACTTTTGTGAATTCAGTTTTGTTTTTGAAGGTTTGCTTTTATTTATGTGTGTATGTATGCCTATGTGAGTGAATGCCATGTGGGTGGCCCAGGGGTCCAGAATTGGGTATTGGATGCCGTGGAGCTGGAGTTACAGATGGTTGTGACCCACTTGGTGTGAGTTCTAGGAGCCAAATGTGGGGGAAGGGAGGTGATGGGGATTGGAAGGCAGCTATGCTCACCACACACCACCAGCGCGGTGACGGGATTGGACCCATAGCCTCAGACGTGCCCCACCCTCAGCCCACTCACCACATTTGCTACCCAAACTCACAAATTGTTTGCTGTGGACCAGCTGTTGAAGTGGCCACTGGATGAAGATTTGCTAAGACCAGAGGATGCTCTGCAAACTCTCTGAAAGAAGGGGGTCGACCTTAGCAGGCTCATCTCTGGCCACACATTACCACACATATTATCCCCACAGCCATCCAGTCCACAGTCACAAACAATGGCAAAATGAACACATCTCCGTGGATGCTTGAGCTAAGTTTTAAAAGCAATCCTGAGTTCCCACAGAACTTGCATGTCCCTGAGACCTTGTAGTCCCGTGATTCATGGAGATTGGCGGTACACAGAATTGAGGAGTCGTTCATATGCAATTGGCAAGTGGCTGCATTATGCAAACCATAACCCTGAAGTCAGCTTCCAGGGGAACAGTAAATGTACAAATTAGGTCTAGCTGACAACACATACCATTGAGCTTTTCTCTGGTAGCTTCTGATACGCCTCTTTAGCAGCCAGCTGCTTTGCCTCCTGCTTGGTAGCGCCTGAACCAATACCGTAGGTTTTCAGCCCAATTATGCATTTATAACAAAATCTAGGGAAAATGTGAGTATTCATTCACATATCAAAAATATTGTCAATCTAATGTACAATTAAAAAAAAGAATCCTAGAGACAAATAAAGGCCTTAAGATCAGACTAATAATTTTTTACCTTTATTTATATTTCCTACCTCACATATTTAAAAGCCCCAAAAATGGCCCCCAGTCTATATGAATGACCACAAACAGGTGACACTCTAGTTTACATCTCCCAGGTGCCACCTAATTCTTTCTTGCTTCATTGGAAAGTCTTACAGCAAAATACCAAGTGATGGTTTTAAAAACAAGCAAACAGAAAAAAAAATCTTTTCAATCCCAAGTAAAAATATTTCAAGGGAGAGAAGAAGAGATCCAGAGAATTTTCTAGAGCTGGCAGAGTGGGGCTGACAGGGGATAAGCCAGAGGGTGCATTACTGCGGGAAGACAGCTCACTGATGGTGGTCTCAGTACTCCAGACCCTAGTCCTTGCTCACTCATCACATCCCTCACAGCGTCTTCTTCCCGGTGTAGGGCTAAGACCACCCTGCCCGGCCACGCTATTTTTGTCTGTCTCTTCAAATGTGAAGAGCAGCAGACACCCAGAGAAGAGGCTCTCTAACTGAAAATGGGCAAGTCCTTTCATACTGGTGTAGAGCAGTCCCCAGGGGAGGCTCAGGGAAGGGAAGAACCCTGCATCCCTCATGCATTGGCACCAAGAACTCCTTTAAATGTTTAGCAGATGCATCATTTAGATACACCTCAAAAATCAGCAGACCCCTGTTATCCATAGGGGATACATCCTAAGAGCCAATGGAAGACTGGAACTATAGATTGTATTGAACCCTAGAAGTACTCGTCATTCTTTTTATACATTCCTGTGGTAAAGTTTAACTCATAAACAGGACGTAGTAAAAAGACTAACAACAGTTAATAGTAAACTAGAACAATTAGTACAATAGACTCTACACCTAGGTTTGGAAAAGAGATCTTCCTTTCAAAATAGCTTCCTGTACCATGCTCACCATCTTGTTAACCAAAGGCAACCAAAATTTCACAAAGCAAAACCAAGGAAAAGAAGGAGACTACTGAAAAAAAAAAGCCAAATTTGATTCCAATGGACCCCACAGCCTCAAAAATTAGGCATTTGATGTTCATGAACCATTTAAAATATTTCATAAGTGGATAAAAGGGGTGGTCAAATACTTGTGGAAAACTACATACAAAAGCCTCTTAGTTTTATTGCTTGTATACAGTAAAACAGTAGGAGAAGCCAAACCATGTCTCACCTTTGGGGTGACTGGGTATTGAAGGCACACTGTTGGTAATTTACAGACAACTTCTCCTTCTGAGCATAACTGTTGACAAGGCCTATGTAATTCCCAGTGAATGAACCTTCCAAAGCGTCTGTATGACTATTTGCCTACAAAGAAAACACTGTGCTTAACTAAATAAGTAACATGAGAGACATCTTACCTGTTATGGATTTCCTAATTATATTTTCTTATTAAAAATGTAACTATATGTCTATTAGGAAAAATATTCAAAAATAAATTCTTTTTTAATTAAAAAATCCTGAATGGCACATTAAAATTACATATACTTATGGTATATAACATGATGTTTTGAAATATGAATTCAGGTAATTGTCATATTTATCAACTTATATGCATTTCTTCCCTTTTATGGCCAGGACACTTAAAATATATTCCCTTAGCAATTTGTAAATACACATTTTGTTAAGTCACTCATTTTCCTTTTATAATTTCACTAAGAAAAACCAAGCTAGGTACACTGGTGCACAGCTGTTATCCTAGTCCACGGGGAGTTAGAGCCCAGAGTATCAAGGCCTAACATCTGCCCCATCTACGTCCTGCTTGTGAAGGCACTGCAGGACCTCCGTGACTCGGGGGGGGGTGGGGGGGCGAGGGACACCTGGAGGAGTTTCAGTGAGGTCACCCGGCATGCTGGGAACTGAACTCTGGTCCTCTGTAAGAGCAGTACCCACTCTGAGCATCTGAGCTCTCCCTAGCCACACACACCTCTTCTTTTTCCATGAAAACAGTATTGTAACACTTTCTAGCATGCTGCAACCTTTCTAAACCTCAAAACAGAGCGTTCGTGATGGAAGGGAAGCTCTGTGGTGGTTCGCAAGTTAATGGAAAAGATGTACACAGAAGCAGCGTTGTTATTTTCTGAAACTTCATTGTTTCCCACCAGGTCAGATTTGGTCCAAAGTTTCTCCTTCATGAGTCTTCCAAAGAACTAGGTTTGGATTTCATTCATCCTTACTACTATTTGTGTTCTTCTACACAAATTTCCATCATTGTTATCATAGTCTTTCTTCCACTTTGAGAGGGAGGTTATTCTTTTTTTTTTTTTTTTTTTTTTTGGTTTTTCGAGACAGTGTTTCTCTGTGGCTTTGGAGGCTGTCCTGGAACTAGTTCTTGTAGACCATGCTGGTCTCGAACTCACAGTGATGCGCCTGCCTCTGCCTCCCAAGTGCTGGGAGATTAAAGGCATGAGCCATCACCGCCTGGCGTGAGGGAGGTTATTCTATTTTATCTTTTTGACTCCATGTTTTAGCTTACTAAATAAGATAATTTGTGGTTTTCTTGGTTGCTTTTTACTTGATTATAAGGATGGCATCTTCGAGTAAGAATATCTCCAAGTATGTTGAAAGGTAAAACTTCCCAGTATCTGCGGGTGATTTTCCCATCTCTCACACAAATCACTTCATGTTGCAGCCACTGCTCCAGCCTCCCGGTGTTTGACATTGTAGCAAATAACATGAGCTCTTTACCATTGGCCTTGATCTCGTAAAGTTCCCCTCCTTCCTGAGAGTCAGCGCTTTGATAAGAATCAATGTTTTTCTTGGTACTTCCATATTTTCCTGTACCTACGGAGTCAATTTCATCTAACGCAGTGTCTTCATTTCATAAACACTTTCAGCTGAAACATCCCCAGATGGCTTTGCTTGTTTGATTGTATGTTGGGACTTTTTCACAGAACCATATACCTCCCAAACCTCGCCAGGGACCAGATAGATCTGTTTATCATCTGTTTGTTCGATGTGCTGTTTACCCTGTTTGCATCCTCAGGGACACCAGCGAACGTGTGTTGGTCCTCTGTTGTTTTCCTCCAGGTACACGGTTCTCCCTACCAGGACTTACATGAATTTCTCTATTCTGTTTGCCTGCTGATGGAAGGGACCCCTCCTAGCTCTTGTCAGCCCACATCCCAATGAGCAGTCTTGTCTGTCTCATGTAATCAACTTAAGAGCATGTAAGTGTTTCTAGCACTCACTTAGAAGCGACAGCTCTGTCAACAATTTCCCTGGTGTAGTTCTCACTCAGGAGAAATTGAGATAGGAAGAAAAAAGAAATAAAACTTTGAACGAGTGGTTTTACACTGGCATATGTATTTCCTCACTGAGAGAAATTATACATATGTACATGTATACATGCATACATGCATGCATACATACTTACATATTTACGGCTTCCCTTTAACCCGGGGTAAAAAAGCGTATTACTCACCTTATTTGCGTTAAGTGTATCAACAGCCAATTTGGCAGCAGCGTTTTTTGCTTCCTGCTTTGTTTTGCCTTCGGCTTCTGGAAATTCTTCTCCGTCTATTATAACTTGAAATGTAAACCTGGTTTAAAAAGACAGAAGTCACAACATATTACACAGCTGGTGATTTACCTAAGGACAAGTGGCCCAGAGCCACTGCTCCACAAGCACACATCAGGATTCAGACCCAGCTCAGTATGGACTGTCAGCATCCACTCCAAAACAGTGTCTTCTTGAAGCAGGGAGAAGTTTGTACCCCCCACCCACCCACCTTTCCTTTCCTTTTCTTTCTTCCTGTCATTTATTTTTTCACTGTGTCTCACTATGTAACCCAGGCTAGCCTCAAACTCACAACAATCCCCCTGCTTCAGCTGCCCAAGTGCTAGGATTATAAGCATGAGCTGCCATGCTTAGTTTTTTTCCTATTTATTTAGCATTGGGTGGGGTGTGTGTACTATGTGTGGTCTGTGTGTTCAGACAGGGCATGCTTGTTGGAAATCAGGGGACAACTTTTGGGAATGCGTCCCTGAGAAAATCTCAGGTCCTCAGGCTTGGTGGCAAGTGTCTTTACTCACTGAGTCAGTGCACCAGCCTTGATTTTTTTTTCTTGAGTCCTCTGAGGTTGCCAGGCTCTGCCAGAAGGACTCTCACAGGACTCTGGCGGCTTCCCTGTAGAGCTGAAGTACTGACCTCCGAGTTGCACCGTAATTGTCTCCCCCTCCTCTACATTTGTGGGGACAGACATTCTATTGTTTGTTTGGGTTTTCATTTTTTTCCCCATTTAAATGTCTGGACTTGAACTCAGGCCCGGGTATTCTGAGCACAGGCTCTAACAGTGAGATACACCTCCATTATCTGGGTCATACTTTCCTTCCTTCCTTCCTCCATCATTTTATTTTTTTTTTAGTGTGTGTGTGTGCCGTCATGCGCATGCATGCGCAGCGTGTGTGTGTGTGTGTGTGTGTGTGTGTGTGTGTGTGTGTGTGTGTTCATGTTGGGGGATTGAATTGTCTTTGTGTGCACAGAGGTCAGAGAAAGACTCCAGGCATCCTGCTCTGTTACTCTTTGCCTTATTCCCTTGAGACAGGCTCTCTCATTGAACATAGAGCTAGGCTGGCATCCAGAAATCCCCAGTGATCCTTCTGTCTCTGCCCCACACAGTGCTAGACTTACAGGCACACTCAGCTTTTTTTGTTTGTTTGTTTTTGTTGTTGGTTTTTTTGTTTTTTTTTTGTCCCAAGACAGGGTTTCTCTGTTTTGCTTTGGAGCCTGTCCTGGCACTTGCTCTGTAGTCCAGGCTGGTCTCGAACTCACAGAGATCCACCTGCCTCTGCCTCCTGAGTGCTGGGATCAAAGGTGTGCACCACCAACGCCCAGCTCACACTCAGTTTTTTATGTGGATGCTAGGGACTCAAACTCAGGTCTTTATACTTACACAGCAAGAACTCTTACCCACTGAGTCACCTCTCTGGCCCTAGTCAGACCTTCTCTGATGGCAACTTACCTTCTGTCATGTGGAGGTCCTGTAGTAAAAAGGTGTTTATACGTAATCGTTACTCTATGCTTCTGGTGGTATTTATTAAGTTTGTCCATGTAGAAACCGGGAGTATCACTGGCCATCTTTCCTTCCAGTAACCTGCAATTGAAGAAGTGTCTGCACACGTGACACTAACAGAGTACATCTAATCTGATTTTCCCAACCCACTGAGGAGATCATGGGAGACAGTGGCTCTTCTCGATTTGACACACCTCAGCCCCACAGAAATTCAGACGACAATCTGTGTCAGGGTCTTTCCCTCTCTCCTCCTAAACCATCTATTTTCAAAACTACTGGCCAAGGAAAGAGGGCCCGGTCCTTTGTTCTACTCATGTTTTCCAAGGTGTGACATGTTTCAGTCTGTTTACCTTTCTGAGAAGGCATTAGAAAGCATAGGAACGGAATTACAGCTTTTATGTTAAAAACATATATTGCTATGTATTATACATACACACACGTACACACACAACTGTGTACATAAAAATGACTATGTACACACACATACACACATGACTATGCACACATATGTTCATTTGCACAAGTGCATGCACACACACAGACACAATATAGAAAATGTGCTATTACCCAGGAGAAAGAAAGGAAAAAAATATTTCTTGGTGTAGATACACTTAACCTGCTTTAGACATTATACGATGTATATACATTATCAATATCACCTAACTGGAAATTTTATGCTTCTATGTATCTATTTAAAAGTGAACTGGAAATTTTAAAGTTTAGTGGGCTGGGGACATAGCTCATTTGGTAGAGGACTTGTCTAGCATGCACAAAGCCCCAAGTTTGATCCCTAACACCACATAAAATGTACTTTTCCTTTTTAAATTTTAAACAAGCTGCTTCACACCGTGATCTATTAAAGCAGTAGTTCTCAACCTGTGGGACACGACCTCCTTCAGGCTAAACAATCTTTTCACAGAGGCTGCATATCAGATATTTACATTATAATTCATAATGTAGCAAAATTCAACAGTAGCAAGATTACAGTTATGAAGTAGCAGTGAAATACTTGTATACATGAGGGACTGTATTAAAGGGTGGCAGCATTAGGAGATTGATGGGAGATGTCTGGATACTGTATAGTAATGTGTTTTTCAGTTGTTCAGTGGCTAAGGAAGGATCAACTGCTGAAATATAATTGATTATAAATACTGCTGAATTAATACAACTTATATATTTCAAAAATTCTTTGACTTCTAACTTTAAATATAAGGACGGATTACTTGGGAAAAGAGTTTTTGTTTATGTTTCCACAGAAAATAGAAAGCTGTGGATTCCTTTCAGTCTTCTGTGGTCTGATGAACCAAGACCCCCAGAAACAGTGGGCCAGGCATTCCAACATCTAAAATAGCTGAGAAAATACAGCCTTAAGGACTACAAGAAAAGGACTTAGCCATGTTTCTGAATTTTGTCATGATCCCTATTGTATGGACAGCGCCCCCTATCAGCAGGAAGCAGTTTAGAATGAGCTATGCCCAAATTCCCATATTGTTTATAAATCTTTGTTTTCATTTGGATGGGGTTGTTTATAATTGGTTAATAATCATAACCAATCTCTTTTTAATGATAAAAGGGTAATTATGGTATGGAAAGTAATACTTGGTATGTGTATGGTTTTTCACTTATTGATACAAATTCAAGGTCAATTTTGTGATATGCATATTTCTCCTCTTGATTAAGTATTGTGCTTATACTGATCTTTTATTTATTTTTTATTTTTTATTTTTTTGGTTTTTCAAGACAGGGTTTCTCTGTGGCTTTGGAGGCTGTCCTGGAACTCGCTTGGTAGTCCAGGCTGGTCTCAAACTCACAGAGATCCGCCTGCCTCTGCCTCCCGAGTGCTGGGATTAAAGGCGTGCGCCACCAACGCCTGGCTTTTTTTTTTAATACTGATCTTTTAAAATGTAATACATAATAAAATAAAGGTTATAGATAGTTACCTATAATAGTCAGAACTTATAGTTAGGTTAGTTAGGTTTTCTAGATATATAGAGATATATTTGAGATAGACAGTCTTCAAACCTTTCAAAGACCTTCAGAAAATGGCATTTAATGGTTTAGGGTTTTTCTTGACAATGAAAAATGTCTGCTCCTAGCAGCACTAATTATGTCTGAGAGGAAGATGGGTATTGAAGAAACTCAAAATGGAGTTTGCTTTCAACATGGCAAAATTAGCCATTTGGGCAAGAAACTGCTCTTGCCTGGACTGCTTGACTGTTGCTGTATAAACTGGACATGTAGGACCCACAGGAAAGTGGCTGCTGAACTCAAACAGTCCTTCAGGGTTCCTGCTTCATGGAAGAGTCTACAAGACTTTCTGCAGGACACAGAAAAATGAATGACAGACTTCCAATTCAGATGGACAATTTGAAATTTCTTGCTTTACTGAGAAGCTTTCCAGATACATTGTGGCCTATGGGCTGAAGATTGATGCCCCAACATTACAGAGAAATTTCAGGTGACTGTCCAGGCAGCAAGATGTCTCTATCAATCCTAGTGTTTATATATTATCCTTCTGTGGTCTTTGATGAAGTTGAAGGCAGGTAGTTATAATCATAGTTTTCCTTAGTTATGATAAAAGATAAGCTACATGTAAGACTTTAGACTCACAAAGATAGAATAGATGATACTTTCTTTAAATCTTACTAAATGTTAATGAACAAAATATTGTAACTATGTTTTTACTTGATAACTGTTCTGTTATATATAATTTAACTATGTTAAAGTTAAAACCTTTCTTTTTATTTAGACAGAAAAGAGATGATGGGAGATATAATTCTGTAAATTTGTCTCTAATTGGTTGTTGAATAAAGCACTGCTGGCCAATAGGGAAGCAAGATAGGTGGAACTAGGAGTCAAGGAAGATTCTGGGAAAGAGAGGCAGAGTCAGACATAGGAGTAAAAGGTCAGGACCCTTTTCTCTGGGAAGAGAAATAATTAGATTAACAATTATGGGTGCAATACTTAAGTCAGAGATAGCCAGTAAGAAATCAAGCAAATGGCTAACAGCTCATAATTAATATAGTGTCCTGTGTGCTACTTGGGGGACTGCAACTGTGGCAGAGCTCAGGGGACTGGGAGGGGGGACCAAAGCAGCAGGCAGGGAAGGCTACACCCTACAGGAGGTTTTAAAGCATCATCCAACTCTGGAGCCTCTACAGACACCAGGACTGCTATTGTGACATTCCCAGTGCTTGCTCGCTGCCAAATCCAACAGTCAATGTCGGTCACTCGCTCCCGTCTCCCTCCTCCCTGCCTCTTAGCTTGGGGTTGTGAGATACCTGGGTTTTCACCCATCTATCTCACAAGATGTACTTTCTCTGTCTTCTTTCCTGGCCCCTCTTCATCTTCTTTTCATCTAAATATTGTCCAGGGGCCCAGTCCTCAAGTCTGCTGTTCCCTACTTACCTTCTCTCCCGGTGATCACCTCCAGGCTGTGGCTTTACATTCTACCTACACAGTGATGGTTCTCACAAGGGTTAGCAAGATGGATTGACAGGTAAAGAAGCTTGCTGCCGAGACTGACCATCTGAGTTCAATCCCTGGAACCTACATGGTGGAAGGAGACCCGACTTCCACAAGTTGTTCTCTGACCTTGACAGGCTTACTGAAGCACATGCACACACACATACACACTAAAAAAAAAAATAAAACTAAATAAATATGCAGCTGGACAGATGACCAGCAGTTAAGAGCACTGCTGCCCTTCCAGAGACTCCAGTTTGATTCTCAGCACCCAAAGCAGGCAGCTCACAACCTCCTTGCAATTCTAGTTCAGGGGATCTGATTCTTTCTCTGGCCACCAAGGGAACCTGCATTCCCAAGCACATACCCGTACACAGATACCTAGACAATTAAAAATAAAATGTAAATATATTCCTTATAAAAATAAACTTAACAGTTTTAACTGAAAAGGGAAGGAAGGCTTGATACAAATGAATGAATGAATCCATCAATGAATGAAGACCAAGGTATCTCCCAATCCACACTCCCATGAATTGGAGTCCTCTGTCTGCTCCACCAATTAGGATGGGCCTGACCTTCTTCGAGTCTGCAGGGGCAGCTAGGATCACTCCTTCTCTTCACCATCAAAGCCTGCACTCTGTAACCTAGTCAGTGAACTCCCAGGTAGCAGCTATAGCTCTTACTCATTCACTCCATCACATCCACCAACAAATGCCACCTGCCTGTCCCACCTACATCCAGAAGACACTGGTGTCTCACTCCCTGCAGACTGTAGGCCTCCAGAAACCTGAGGCCCTTCCAGCTGCTTCCCATACAACAGGCATTCAATTTGTATCTGCTACATAAACGAGCAAGCTGCAAACAGAGTTCAGCCCAGTCAGATTCACAGGACAAGCTGAAGCGCGAGAGTCCAGTCTATACTAAGATTCTAAGGTCCTGGGCAATCGCCTAGACAGTGTCTTTGGTTTCTGGGAGGCAAGGAACTTTCAGTACTAATCGTGCAACAGGAAATCTCAATTGTCTAGAATTCAAGGGTGAATTAACAACATCACTTAACATACACGTAGTGAGCACTTGTCAGATATTAGGTGCTAGATACAAGCAGATAAAAACTGCTTTTGGGATCTTTCTGGTAGAAGGATACAGACAAATCGCGGGCACTAAGTATTAGTTGGAAAATGGAGGAAAATCCGGGGGGCGGGGCAAGGAGGGCAGAGTGGGTGTTCTTGCTCTGGGAAGTCGGCTTGTTCAGTTAGCTCTGTGAGAAGGCCTGGGTATTCAGAGGAATCCAACCACCCATGCAGTTACTTGGGTGGTGGGGTGGGTGCGGGGAAAGGCTGTCCAGGAAGTAGGAAGAGGCACCACGAAGGCCCAGGGCTGAAGGGTACTTGGCTGTGGCCCAGAAGCACCAAAGAAGTCTGAAAGTGGTGTGCCCTGGGGCCTTTGCCTGACTACAGGGGTTCGAGCGGTGGAGGTGGGAGCAGGGAAGCCAGCAGCCGGTTCCGACTTAAAGGAAACTCAGGTGCACGGGGAAGAGCAAGGTGGAGGACGGCGCGGGACACAGAGGCCCGCCAACTAGAAAAACCATCATAGCCGTGCAGCCCCAAGTCTTTGCCTCGTTTTTAGCCAGTCTCCGGGCCATACTGGCTTTCAGATTTCCCTCCAGAGTTTCAGATCATCGGGCTTGTCACTTTCCTTCTGGGTCCCCTGACCTGCTACCGCTGCCCAGGAGGAGTGGGAAAATAGCCCTCAGGTCTCACCTGGATCTGGACAGTGGCCCCTGGCTTAGGATTCGACTTTTGCTTCGGGTGCTGACTCTGAGATCGCGTCGCCCGCCGCTTCTCACAGTCGCAGCCCCGGTAGGTTCACTCTGTTTCGTTTTCCCGGCGGACTCCGCCTTCCCGCACTCAGCCCCTCCCGCACCGGCTCGCACTGGCAGGCGTGGCGCCTCTGTCCCAGCGCGCGGGAGCCAATGTCGGGATAGCCTCTGCGCTCCCGCGCAGCTGCAGTGGCGGCTTGCTATAGGCGCTTTCCCGGGCTTCTGGCTGCTATTTTGGGAAAACTCTGCTGGAAGAGGAAGGAGAAACTCAAGTCTCCTGCTCGCGGTGCTTTAGCAGGTTCTGGGGATCGATGATCATATCTGATTCTCAAAACAAACTTTTAGGATGCAGCTGGGCGCATGGATGCTACCGAATTCCAGCACAGTGGGAGACACTGAGTAACTCACAGAGGGGTCCTGCCAGGCTGTGGGGATGACAGTCAAAACAGTTCAAGTCTAGGTTTGGAAACATTAGTCTCCCTCTTCCCTTTTCTCACTACAGCAGAGCCAAGCAGGGCATGGTCATCTTGACAAACTTGGTCAGGGAGCTGAAGGAATCTCTCTTCAATCTATTCTCATTTGTTCATTCCTTACCTGCCGGTCCCTCGTCACCTATTATCCAGGTGTTCAGAACCACCTGCTCCCAGGAGGGTCTCAAGGACTATTCTGCCACAAGGCAACATCAGCAGTCCGGGTTAATGAGAAATCCTACCCTCCTGTAAGACTGTAACAAGTTCCCAGAGTCGCGATCCCTGACACAGGACTTAGATGGCTCATCGGTTAGTTTGTGACACACACTGCCGTGGTACAGCCTCAGGCCAGGACTTTGAGCTAAGCACCGTCCCATCCCCACTCAACAGATGAGGAGAACTCAAGAGATAGACTTAGAACCAAGAAACTGTTCTCGCAACATGAGGTAGGGAAGTCTCAAGACCCCCAATACACAGTAAACACTGCGTCCTGTCCACACCTTTCTCTTACATTTCTTCGTAACGGCCAGAGTCTACAGTTTTCTTGTACCATGGATCTGGGTTGTGATTTGAATTCTCTAATGTGAAACCCTGCTGGAACATTTAGGCAGACCTGAAGCATAGCCATCTCTCTTTTAGCCTCATTTCCAAGGGACGAAAAAGGCTCTGTCAGGGCTGGAGAGATGGCTAAGTGGTTAAAATCATTGACTGTTCTTCCAGAGGTTCCAAACTCTGTTCCCAGCAACCACTTGGTGGCTCACAATCATCTATAATAGGATGTGATGCCCTCTTCTGGCGTGCAGGTATACATGCAGAACAATCATACAAAAAACATAAATAATTAAGAAAAAAAAGGTTCTGTCAGAGGTGGGTATTTGCTATGTCTGCTGTTAGTTCTGTAACAGTGTGAGTTGGCTATAGAAGCAGCATTGGATGTGCCAGGGAGCCTCTAATCTGCCCAAGATAGTTTAAGAAATACATGGCAGGCCGGGCAGTGGTGGCGCACACCTTTAAGCCCAGCACTTGGGCAGCAGAGACAGGTGGATTTCTGCCAGTTCGAGGCTAGCCTGGTCTACAGAGTGAGTCCCAGGACAGGCTCCGAAGCTGCAGAGAAACTCTGTCTTGAAAAACAAAACAAAGCAAAGACAAACTCAAGCATGATTATATCGCACATGCTGTAATGTCTACCACAAAGATGTTTTATTTCGTGGAGTCTCTTGGGTGATTTAAAAATCTGGTTCCAAGTCTGATGTTACAACCTGCAGAATTGCAAAATATTGACTAGGTCTTTTCTGTTTGGGAAAGAAAGCATCCCGGGAATGCAGGAGGATTGAAATGAACCCATGTGCCTTTGCACTCTCAGATTCTGTTGTCCCCACAGACTTTCCAGTCTTTGTCTGATGAGACTGCCATCACCTGGAATGAAGAACCTGAAGCAGTCACCTGAAAATAATGGGGAGAGGGAAACCCCTCCCTACCTCTCCCTTCGCCCCTACAACACATCCCTAAAGGATATGAACAAACTGATGGAAAGAAGATAGTTTACATGACCAAGGAATGCCACTCATTTATAGACAGAGACCCAAGAAATACGAACGGAAGCGATTCTGAATTTGCCCTGAAGGAGGCAGTGTGTTCTGCTCAGCTGGTGTCCCAGCAGACTGGCCACAGTGGCGGTCTTCATGAAATGAAGCTGTAGTGCCAACCAATGCAGGTGAAGACGTTAACACCCAGGGAGAGCTGGGCGTGGTGATGCACGTCTGTAATCTTAGCATTTGGGAGGTGCCAGCAGGGGGACCAAGGTCAACCACAGCTACATAATAATCTGGAGGCCAGCCGGGGCTCCATGAAATCCATTCTTAAAAAGGAACATAGTTTGGGGACGCAGCTAAGCTGGTAGAGTGATTGCCACCCACGGTTCTGTCCCCAGACTGCAGTGACCAGACGTGGTGGTCCAGATCTGTAATCTCTGCCCTGGGGAGGTGAAGACAGGAAAGTCAAGTTCAAGGTCATCTCCAGCTACAGAGCAGGACCGAGGCCGCTCTCAAAAAGAAACACCCACCCACTCATGTAGTCGAGAATATGAGGAGTAGAAGGATGCTCAGCTCCTTCACTCACTCTAGCCACAGCCTCCAGGAAGGACCAAAGGCACCTCCTTCAGCGGCTACCACTTCAGCCAGACTTCTGCTGTCTGCAAGGAAGGGCGGTGATAGGAAATGTTGAGAGCAAAGCTCGACGAATGGATGGAATGGGCGGAGTGAGTAGGTTGCCACCTCTCGAGAATGTTCAGGAAGGCACTCCTTTCCATAGAAGCTTTGCGAGCAGGTGGCAAGGAGACCTCGCTGTCAACTTGTCCCCTTGTTATCGAGCGCTCACTAAAGAAGCTGTGGCAGCTAGAGAGAGTTTATCGGGATCGAGTTATCAGGGATAACTTGATCGCAGAGCTTCAGTGAGTCCCAAATTTCTCATAGAGGAAGTGTTCTTTGTCCCGTTGGGGAGAAACTGTTTCATTAATTTTTTGAGTAGACAATTTGCATTTCTTTCCTGCAACTTTGTGTTTTGGTGTGTGTGCGTGTGTGGTTTATTAAACCTTTTGGATTTCTGATTTTCTAATAATTTGAATTGAAAATTTTCAGCCATATGTTTACGTATTTTACATAGCCCCTTTCCTCCTTCACCTCTTCCTTCCTCTTTGCCTCCTTCTTCCCTCCCTCCCTCCCTCTTTCCTTTCTTTCTGAATTCTAGTTGCATTTGTATTTCCTTTATTGTCCCACTAGTCACTAAGCCCCTGCTCATGTTGTCTGTGAATTTTGCCCACCCCTCTCTCTCTTTCCTGTAGGGTGGCTTCTATGCCTGTGAGTTCGGTTCTCACAGTGTCTTCTTCACACTCGAATGTACTTTTTACCCATCCTACATGCGGTAGCTTTTACTTCTAAAATTTCCATTTGAGTCATTTTTAATCATCCCTTTTCCCTCTCATCATGTTAATTTTACTCTGTATCTTTGAGCATATATGCACATGACTACATGGCTGTTGAATTAATAATATTTGGAGACATTGAAATCCCCCATGTACAAGTTGTTATATAATCTAGATTGGCCTTTAATTCACAATTCTGCTGCCTCAGCCTCCCAAGTGCTTGGTTATTGGTGTGTGCCACCATGCCCAGGTTTGGGCACATCTATGAGATGTGTACTATCTCTTTAAAGGTGTTTGCTGGTTTCCCAATCACAACCATTTGTTTCTATTAATCGCTCTTGTTCTTGATTATACATCACATTTTCTTCTTTGTATACTTGGAAATCCTAACTGGATAGCAGACATACTACAGAGGGCTTTGTTTTCTTCATTTAATTTTGGAAACACTGAATTTTTGGGTCTTGCATTGTTTTTCCTGGGATTGTAGGAGCTCAGCATCATGCCTCTCTGGCAATTCTGCTTCATTGCTGTGTTATTCGACTGATAAAGTGTACATTACTTTCCTTCATTTTGATCCTTAAGTTAGGCTTGCTTTGGATCTTTGTTATGGCAGATCTAGGCTAGTTTATCAGGGCCAACTGAGCTCCACTACTGAGGTCTGACCATTCTGAGGGGGCTAGCCCATGTCTTACTGGGAGGGGCATGTAAACCCTTCCCACCCCTGAGAGGCATCCAGGAATCATCTCTGGCTCACAATCCCAATAGTCTTCTTTCTGTTGCTCTCTTCGCTGGTTTGAGGCAGGGTCTGACTGGAACCCTAACTTGTCTAGAACATGTTTAGAGTAGGCCAACTACATACTTGTAGTATGACTTCTGCCTCTGCCTCCCAAGTGATGATTGACAGGTACCAGATAGGATAGTATTTCTAGAAAATTCTCTACATTCTCTTGTTAGTTCCATATGACTACTGGTACAAAAACATAGTGTGAGCTTTGACTTAAAGAGGGTATTAAGTAGAAATGTGAAGACTCTTGAGAGATGCACTTCCAGAGACCTACAGGCATGGCAGGCCCAGAGTAGATGAAGATGAATTTATCTTGAATCAAATTGGAGCTTGCGGGCTGGAGAGATGGCTCAGAGGTTAAGAGCACTGGCTGCTTGCTCTTCCAGAGGTCCTGAGTTCAATTCCCAGCAACCACATGGTGGCTCACAACCCATCTGCAATTCAATCTGGTGCTCTCTTCTGGCGTGTAGACAGAACACTGTATGTAATAAATAAATACATCTTTAAAAAAAATGGAGCTTGCTAACCTTATATCGTGTTAACCTTATGTCAATGCAGAGTCCGAATTGAATTTCACTCTGTATTATGTCCAAGATAACTACTACAAATATCTGACCCATGGTGAGAAATTTCCTAATGAGAAAAGCTTAAGAAAATACATAGCAGGCCAGGTGGTGGTAGTGCTCGCCTTTAATCCCAGCACTTGGGAGGCAGTGGTAGGCGGATCTCTGTGAGTTAGAGACCAGCCTGTCTAGAGAGTAAGGGCCAGGAGAGGCTCCAAAGCTGTGGGGACACCAGACCTTGAGCAGAAACCCACTTCCCTTCGGCCTGGGAGCAGGCATCTGTGTAATGTTTACTGAAAACAATTCAGTGCTTTAAAGCTCTTGATAGGGCTCAGATAAGGGCTTACT